ACACACACACACACACACACACACACACACACACACACACACACACACACACACACACACACACACACACACACACACACACACACAGCAAAGCAAGCCTTCAGCGAGCCCAAAATGGGATCTTGCGACACCATAAGGTGAGCCTCGCTGACAAAACCGGACCTCGAAAATTGGTGGGAATTTTCACAACTTTAGCGTGTCCATGGCCAACGTGCCAGTTGTTGTTTTGGTTCGTTGGTTGTTTTGCCTTTGTGTGTGTGGATTCTGCGATCGCTGGCAACAAAACACACGCACGCACACGCATAAAGCCCCCAAGACACATTCCTCCTCCTTTCTCCCACTTCCCCTCCACTCACGCGCCACGTAGCCCCTCACTCACGCACCAACCCCACCTGTATTTGTGTTTCTCTTCGAGCGGGTGCAGCTGGCTGACCACGACCGCTTCTGTTCACCAAACCCCTTATCACACACTCACACACACACCAAACTTCTCCTCCGTTGTTTTGTGTACCGCCGATTCTTTCTCTTTTCTCCCTGAGCTCCTTCTCATCATCCGCAACACTGCGAGTCTTCTTCTTCTTCGTTTTCTCGCCCCAGATTGGTCCTCACCCCACGATCGCCGCTTGCTTGTTGAGGTCGCTCCGCGACTCGCGTGTCCTACGATCCCCTAAGAGCATACCTGCTGCCACACCTCCACACCGATCCCTGATAACGCACTCCCATTCTTGTTCTCTTCTTCTTCCCGGTGTTCTTCAAACACCCAAGTGTTCGTAACCACCCTTGCTTGCCCTGCACGCGCGCGTGTGTCTGTTTGTGTTTGTCGCTGAGCCCCATCATTGTCAGGGTGCGACTTTGGAAGACATCACAACCACACGTCACACCCCTACCTCAACACACAGTGTTTATTTTAGTCAAGTGTTTGATTCCTTGAGTGCGTGCAGCTGTGAGATACCCCCAAGGGTGCGTGTCGTGGCTGTTGTTGTTTGTCAGTTTTGCCGCTGACCAAGCGCGTTCCCCCCCCCCCTCCCTCTCCCACCCACTCCCAATCTCTGCGCCTTTGCTGCCAACAACAACAACAACAACAACAACAACAACAACAACAACAACAACAACAACAACAACAACACCCGATCTGCCTACCCGCCAAATCACAATTCGCACGCGGCCATCCACACAGTTTCTCCTCCTTCTTTGAGCTCGACAAACTCCCCTGCGTTGTTCTCCGCCACTTCCACCTTTTTTCCTCCTCCTCCTCCTCCTCCTCCTCCTGCGTCGACCATGCCGCGCGATCAGTACAGCTACAAGAACTTCAGCTCGGCTGCCAGCAGCCACAGCAGCCGCTTTGGAAGCAGCAGCAGCAGCGGCGGCTCCAGCGGAACCAACAGCGACGATGACGGCACCAGAAGCCACCGCAGCACCCTGCGTGGCGGTAGCAAGGACAGGTTGCGCGGGGCCGCAGCCATTCTCAACCACGGCCGCCTCGGCTGGGCATGCGTCCTCGTCTTCATCTGCGTTGTTGGGGGCCTGTTCTACGTCAACTCGGTCCTCTCCTCCTCCGGCCTCAAGTGGGGCGACATCGACACCAACATGATCCAGAAGTACAAGAAGCGCTTCAGCCTCAAGCCAGACATGTCCTTTGGCGACTTTTGCGACGCCGTGCCGCCGGTTCAGTCCAAGCCGCCTGCGGCCAAGCCCTACGACGGCTCCCACATCATCCTCCTCTCCTTCCCGCGCTCGGGCAACCACCTCGCGCGCGGCGTCATCGAGTGCCTCATCGACACGCCCACCTTTGGCTATCCAAAGGAGAAGCACTTTGTGACGCTGGAGCGGCACATGCAGCACGAGGAGGCGTCGGCCAAGGCCAGCAAGCGCCGCCCCTTTGTGCGCAAGCTGCACGGCATGCTCAAGCTGCCAGAGCGGTGGGACGAGTACGAGTACGGGCTCATCTACCAGGTGCGCGACCCAGTGGAGGCCGTCCTCTCGGAGAACAGAAACTCGCCGTACTTCTGGCGCCAGTACCACGACGACATGACCCGCATCATGCAGAACACGGCCACCTTCCTCAGCAAGCCCAGAAACCACCGCGCCCTGCTCTACTTTGAGGACTACTACCGTGACCCCATGATCAACATCCGCAAGCTGCAGCACTTCTTCGGCAAGGACATTGTCTCGGACGAGCGCGCCGAGTACTGCAACCAGGCCTACCGCAACATCTCCTCCACTAGCAAGTCCCACCTCCAGCGCTCCAGCCACACGCACGCCCTAAACCAGTACGCCCGGGCCGAGTTTGGCGACGACCACCCGCAGGTGTACCTGCAGCCCAGCCTGTACGAGGTCATGTCCCGCTACCCATACTTCCACAGCTGCGACCAGGACAGCGAGGACAGCGCAGCGGCCAACGCCAACGCCAACAACAATAGCACAGCATCAGCGCAGGACGCATCATCATCAACAGACCCTTCGGTGCCCTCGGGCCCCGCCCTCTCTCGCTTGCCCGCACGACCACGTGCGTGATTGAACCCCCAACGCCACACAACCACCATTGCGCAGTTGTGTGCCACTCTGTTTTTAGTTCCATAGCTGCGCACGTGTCTGTGTCTGTGTCCTGTGCCTGTGTGTGAGTGCGTATCCCAAATTGTCTTGCAAGCACGAACTGCTGTGCAGCGGTCGTGCACATTCCCGTTTTTTATCATAGTTACTTCCTTGCCTGTGTTGTGTGTGTGTGAGAGAGAGAGTGAGAGAGAGAGAGATAGTGTGTGTGTGTGTGTGTTTCCGTTCCCGTCCCATCCATGCTCTTCGATCTATCCATCAGCTCGGACTGCTCATCATCACTACCACTATCACCATCAACTACGAGTTGCGCTCTTTCCTTTGATGCGTGTGTGCCGTGTTTGGCCCAATTCTTTTCGGGTTTTATTCGCTGTTCTTTGCTTGTTTTTGCTGGGGGAGGACCCCCTCGCCCCGTTTTGTTCGACTGATTTTCATGCTAGGCTCATCTCTACCACCAATTATGGTTGGGAGGTCTGGTACTCAGATGTGTGTGTGTGTGTGTGTGTGTGCACGCGCCTGTCTGTCTGTGTGTGTGATCATCACTCACGTGTGGTGATGGCGCCAGAGTGTACCCGACCTCGCCCTTATTGTTTACCATAAGACCCTTCACCACTTCCACAGCACTAATTAAACAAGCATTGGCTCATCATTGACACGACGGCCGTTGGCGTCGCAAGCAAGATACCTTCAACCTTTGTCATGTGCTTTGATCGCCTGCTTTTTGCCTCAAGTAGCTTGGTGCGTTTATTTACATGACACCTTGCTGGGAGGGCAGAAACAAAGAAGAAACACAGTGGCGCACCCCCCCCCACCCCGCTTTCAGCTCAACAGCATGCGAGCCTGCCTTTGCCAAACATGTTGCTGGCATAACTCAACTCAACGACATACCACGAACAACGGCGTTTTCCATCAAGACTCGGATCACAGCCCCTCGATACACACACGCACTGTGCCCATTTGCCCATTTCTTGCTCTTCACAGTCGCTCTTCTCCTCCTCTCCTCCTCTCCTCCTCTCCTCGTCTTCTTGTCTCACTGTCACGTAGCCGGTCCTAGTGCCTCACACATCGGAGGAGGTTGGCACAGACGGAAGCTGGCGCACAGCACGGCCGCCACGACGTCGTGCGCTGGTCGTGGCAGAGGAGGCGGTCTCGTCGGTGGCCTCAGCATCAAACCGACTCGGAACATCTCCTCTCCTCCTTCTCCTCCTCTGTCCACGCTTGCTGCTGCTCTGGCGTGACTGGTGCGCAGGAGGAGCAATGGTGATGTGGTCGTCGTGTGAACCAGTGCCAGTGCCATCAACGCTCTCGCCATCCCCTTCTCCACCGGCTGTGTCTTTGGATGGCCGAGGCCATGCTCGCGCTGACGTTGTGCCGCCAGGTAGCCATGTATCGTCAGCATTACCGCCGTGAGGCGGAGTGGGGCGCAGTTCTGCTGTTCTCAGCGGGTGCTGCTGGTGACCTTGGCCCTCCTGTGTGTGCTGAGTTGCCTGCGCTGCTGTTGCTGCTGTTACTGTTGTGGTCGTCGTCGTTTCTGCTGGAACAACGCCGCTGGACCGCGTGACGAATCGTCGCCCACGTAGCCTTGCCGATGGCGAGAACGCCCCAAGTACTAGTTTCTGCTGCTGCTGCTGCTGCTGCTGCTGCTGCTGCTGCTGCTGCTGTTGTTGTGCTTGTGATGCTTGCGAAGCGACGGAATAGCGGGTGCAGTGTACACGCTCATCGCCCGTGGTTTGGGCACCCTGTGCATGGTTGGAGCCTGCCCATGCGCGGGGAGTCGCAGGCGTTGCGTGCAAGCTCAGTTCGCTCCTGGTCACTGCGCTTGCTGCTGTTCGCGCTACTGCTACTGTTGCGCTTGGCCCCTGTGTGCTTGGTGGCTGTTGCTGCTGCTGCTGCTGCTGCTCTTCCCCACGGTAATCCATACGCCCATCCACATCTGCCAAACAAATCACACAAGAGCACAGGAGAGCACAACAGTTAGGAAATGAGCACACATCAGGGTGAGTGCGTGTGTGCACGTGTCGCTCACACAGTAACCAGCAGGGAAGCCAAGGTCGTGCTCGGCAAAAAGGTGAATGCACACAGGCAGCTACACGCTCCGACGAGGACTTCCCTGGCGCAGTTGCAATCTCCCGCTCCCATGCAAAGCAACGACTACAACACAGCGCCACAAGAACAACAGTACATGGAAGCGTACCGATGTGACGTGAAGATGGCTTTGTGGACGTGGCAGGCGGTGTCTGCTGTTGTCCCCATGCGCGAATGTTGGTCTGGCGTCGGGGCTGTGTCTTCGGCGTGTATGTCACAAACTGCAATGCATCCACGTCGATCACAGAGTCCGCATCGTCCTCGCCATCGCCGTCCACAGCCACGACGTCTGGACAAGAACACAGCAAAGGAGCGAAGAAGGCGGGGAGGGCGGGCGGCATTCAAGGTGCGTGAGGGTGTGATGTGGTGATTGCGCGACAGGTGCCAACCCAGTAAGAAGAAGCATGCAGAAGCACACAGCGACTATCGGAAGCAGAGACAAGAGAAAGAGAAAGAGAAAGAGAAGAGAAGAATAGGGCATGGTACAGCGAAAGACGAAGCGAGGTAGCGGAAACGTACAGTGCGTGTGGGGCATGACGGGGTGCGAGGCGCCGGCGCCGCTGAAACCGCCTTCATCACCATGGCCTGCTGCGAGCGCGCTGCGCATTGACCACGCGACCTTGCTTGCTGGCACGCTGGTGTCGGCGTCGGTTGCCTTGTGCGGAAGCGTGTGCAGCCCCACTTTGGCCTTTGGCTGGATGTTGCGACGCACGGCAACCACGGCCAGCACGGCCAGCACGACCAGGACCGCAATCACGGCAATGAGCACGATGCTGGTGGTGCTGAGGCTGGTGGAGGCCGAGGGCTGGGACGGCCCCGTCGTTGTGAAGGGCAGCGGCGGTGTTGTGGTGGCCGGGCGCACGGGCGGCTGTGTCTGGTCTGGACCGCTTGCCATCAGCGTGCGGAAGGTAAACTGGCTCATCTGATGCGTGAGGTGTGGGTTCAAGGGCAGGGAGCTCACGCCGCCGTGGTTCTCGGACGCGGGCGCAACGCCCACAGACGGAACAGCAACTGCGGGAGCGCCAGCAGCGGCTGACGCTGCTGTTGACGACGGCGAGGTGTCCATGTCGGCCCATTGTTTGATGCGAAAGAGGTAAGTGGTGTTGGAGCGCACGTGTAGAGGTTGCGCGAGCTCCCAACGCTGCCACGCAATGCATGCTGCATGCCTGCATGCTCCGTTGAGGATGCACGTTTGTTCTGTGATGCTGCAGTCTGAGCAGGTGCTCTCCACGTCTTGTTCCAGCAAGAGTGTGGTGGTCTTGTCGGCAGGGCTGCCCCCTGGCGTCACTTGTTCAACGCTCAGCTTGCCCGCAAACCGGTGACAAGGCTACTCAAATGGCATGGCCCGGGGATGTTGTGGTTACGAGTTTGTGAGTTGCTGTTGTGAGGTGATTGTGGCGGGCACATGCATGCACACACAAAAGTGACCTGCGACGTTGCACACATTACGCACACGCACACAGAGACGCACACAAAAAGTGATCTGCGACGGAGACACACGGACACTAGCAGACACAGCCACGCACAGCCACACAGGGCCACACACAGCCACACACACACACACACACACACACAGCCACACACACACACACACACACACACGCACACACACACACACACACACACACACACACACACGCAGGGTACGCACCAGCTTGGATCCCATGAGAAGGTCGATACGGGTAAGCTCGCCAGTCCAAGCAGGTTGCCAGGACTGAAACATGTCGTGCCATGGAAGCACATCTCGCACGACACGCGTGTCCTCTGTAAACTGGTCCAGGACAAAAGAAGCTGCTTGCTGTTGTTGTGAAGCGCCGAAAGCCGCTCCGTCGCAGGTGACAAGCGCCAGCAAGCAGAAGCACAAGAGGCATCTCATCGCTGCGGCCATCACCCCTCGATCCAAGTTGGATCAGCTGATGTGAGCACCTTCTCGGCCACCTTCTCGGCCCACCTCCCTTTCTCTTGAACAAGAAGCGATTCGATGTCCTTGACTCACGCGCACACGCGCACACTTTGTTAGCGTCAAGGGCGTTCTCCCACCCAACAGTGGTATCAGAAACAATGGGAAGCTGGCTCGCTGGAAGGACAGGGGCGAACGAAACAGGCGAGCTTGCTTGCTTGCTTGCTTGGAACAAAAGCGACGTGGGTGGAGAGAAGAAGAAGAAGAAGGACGAGGACGAGGAAGAAGAAGAAGGATGCCTCAAGGCAACAGAGGTGGGGAGAAAGAAAAAGGGCGTGTGGAAAGTAAGAAGAAGCAAAGAAGAAAACCTCTGGGCTTTCTTCCTTGTCTTCCTTGGTTGGTTTGGTGTGGCGCTGTGCAAACCACTTGTGTTGCTCTGCTTGCTTGTGGATGGATGGTGTTGGGTGCGAGAGCAGGCGGGTGGGGATGTGGTGTTGCACTCGAGGGTGGATGTCAGTGAAGTGGTGGTGTGGCTCTTGTGCTTGTTCTGGTTGTCGTGTTTTCCCCTTTCCTTGTGTGCTTGCTTTTTGTGCTTGTTTGTTGTTTTGCGTGCATGCAGGCAGCGTGGCCGCAAATTGGCCAATCACAGCGCACCAACACTTTTTTTTTGTCCTAGAATGTATGAACCCAACACGACATCACAAAACGCAGGGGACATTGTTGTGGAGTGCCGCGAAAATTTCAAACAAGCAACAAGCAAGAAGCAACGACGAACAAGCAGCCGTGGAGATGGAGCAGCCCGTGTTTGAGTACGAGTGGAACGTGGCCATGGAAGGCAGCAAAGAGGCACGCCTCCGCCTCATTGCAGAGCGAAAGGAAGAGCTCCAAACCCTCATCTTGGACGCCAAGCAGAACGATGGTCAGTGTGTGTGTGTGTGTGTGTGTGTGTGTGTGTGTGTGTGTGTGTTTGACTGTGTTTGGGGTTGTTTGTGTTTGGCTGTGTGCACAAGTTCTTTGCTGGACGTGTGCACGCATGCTCTTTGCTGGACGTGTGCACGCATGCTCTTTGCTGGACGTGTGCACACATGCTCTTTGCTGGACGTGTGCGCGCATGCTCTTTGCTGCTGAATCTCACGGTTCAACTGCAAAGGTAGCTGGGTGTGTCAAATCGGACTCGCCCATGTGCAGCTAACTTCTTCGCTCTTGCACTGGTTCTTACATTACGATTGGGCAGCAGACATCACAGAGCTACTCGAAGAGTGGAAGGCGCTCTTGGAAGCCCAAAACCGCATCTTCACACAGGAAATCGAGCAGGTGATTGATGTCTCACAGCGCAAACACGTCGTGTCGCTTGATGCACCGTTACCATGAAAATGCTACACACCCACATACATACAAACAAACAACCATACATACATACAAACAAACATACAAACAAACATACATACATACATACATACATACATACATACATACATACATATATACATACATACATACATACATACATACATACATACATACATACATACATACATACATACATACATACATACATACATACATACATACATACATACATACATACATACATACATACATACATACATACATACATACATACATACATACATACATACATACATACATACATGCACACACATGCACAAACAAACTTACACACGCTTCCACGCACACACGCACGCTTCCACACACACACACACACACATACACACACGCACGCATACATACATACATACATACATGTTGAGCTGCATTCTCATTCATTGGTTACACCGCGATGATTCCCTTTGCTGTGCACAAACATGCAGGAGAACCTCAGGATGAAACAGAACGCCATGTCAGACTTACACACACTCCTTCACGACATCATTAAGAGCAAGGTTGGATCCGTGCTGCTCAAATCCTTTCATGCCGTGCACGTATGCGTGGGTGTCTGTGCAGGCGATCTCTGCAGCATCTGCATCGCTTTGTCATTTCAAATGAGGGCATCTTGATGGCTTGCCCACGTCCACACACACACGAGGCATACCAAATTAGCACACACGCATTCGCAGTAACATAATGGAAAAGGTAACATGCCACAACCCACCCCTACATTGCGCGCACCACATAGGTCGAGTTCACGCCTGCAGAGAAACAACTGCAGCAGTGCATCAAGGCCACCTTTCGCGCCGTAAGCAAATACGTCGAAACGAACCGCATCGACAAGTCATCCCAACAAAAACACCAACAACACAGCCACCTCAGGCAGCAAGCAGCAGTCGCAAGTCAGGATGTACCAGTCGTATCCACAACAGCCGCACCGCCACCGCCGCCGCCTCCTCCACCACCTCCACCGCCCATGGCACCACTTGCACAGAGTGTATCGATGGTAGCAGCACCCACATCAACGAGAATGGCCTCACTCGACAGCAGGGAAGACACGGAAAACACAGCACCAGCGCTCCCGAACACCTCATCAGGCCCAACAATAGCAGCGTGCCTGCAAGATCAACTCTCTGCTGCTGTCAGGCACCGCTCAGAATCATCCACCGAATCAAAGCAAGCCTGCACACCTCAGGTCCGTTCTTCTTGGTGTGTGTGTGCGTATGCGTGCGTGAATGTGTGTGTGTGTGTGTCTGTCTGTGTATGTGTGTATGTATGTGTGTGCCTGTGTGTATGTGTGCATGTGTGTGTGCCTGTGTGTATGTGCGTATGTGTGCGTGTGTGTGCGTGTATGCGTCTGTGTGTATGTGTGTATGTGTGTATGTGTGTGTGTGTGTGTGAAGAGGGCGCACCAATGGCTGTGACGCTGACGTGCGTCATCCGCAGTGCTTTTGGTCCAAACGTATCACACTCACACTTGCACTCGCATACGCATCAACGACTCGTGGTGTGCCTTTTCTGTGGCAGGTGATGCGAACACCACTGCGAGATGTGAATCGGTCCTTCTTGACAGACATTACCATGACAGGGAAGTCGGCCTTGAAGAAGACAAACCTTCCCCGCTCACCCGTACGTTGCTCTCGCGTCTGCGCGCGTGTGTGTGCGCATGTGTGTGCGTGTGTGTGTGTGCGCATGTGTGTGCGTGTGTGTGCGCGCCTGCGCCTGCGCCTGCGCCTGCGCCTGCGCCTGCGCCTGCGCCTGCGTCTGTGTGTGTGTGTGTGTATGTCGTGTGTGTGTGTGTCGTGTATGTCTGTCGATTTTCTGTCTGTCTGCCTGTGTTTGTCCGCCTGCCCCTGTACCTTGATGGCAATAGCCTTGGCAAAGAATGGTTTTGCTGTCATCTCAACAAGGTTTGCTTTGTATCGTGTGAGGAATCACTCATCACTGTACCATCGCCTTTTGCTCGACACTTAGGGCGGCACGCCTTGTCGCCGACGACGTGCGCCATCCCTCATGGACAGCCACGACTTGATTGCATGTGCGTGGTTGTCTGCGTTTTCATTTCATGCTTGCTACCAGCAAGCGTTGACAACAGAGCAATGCTTCGCGGCTGCTTCGCGCTTCAACACTGCTGCTCACACACTACCTCGCTCACCGGCACGCCTGATGCGCTTGCTTGCTTGTATGCAGTTGCACTGAGGAACAAGTTCAAGTCCGTCACCCACAGCCCGCTCAGCGACCGCTCAGCGTCATCAAACTTCAACAGCCCCTTATCCTCCGGTACGTATACGAGCTGGATGGCGAGCAGATGCGTGCTGGCGTGCCCTGCAAGGCACCCATGCACATGCAAACATATGCACACACACACATACACACATACACACATACACACATGCAAGCGCATGCAAGCGCTTGTACACACACAATCACAAACACATGGTTGCAAGCACATACAAACACACACGAGACCGCAGACAAGCGCATGCGCTCGCGCATGCACGTTGCTTGAAGGCGATGCCAGTACTGCAGACGCTCACACACGTTTGGTCTCGTTTGTCTGCGCTGCAGTTGGCCGCCAGTCCCATCCACCTACACCGTTCTAATCGCACCCCAGACAAATGCACGCCGCAACAGCTGCTGTTCCCCCCTGCGCCCTGGTTCTCCTGCTTTGAGAGAGTTGTCGTTACACGCAAAGACAGCGTTCCCCCAACAAAGCGAGCAAGTCAATCAACAAGCGAAGGAAAGAGAGAGAGAGATTGGCACAAACCACACACGAACAAACAGCAACCATGTTGTTGAGGGTGGTGGTGGCAGTGATGATGTGCCTGGTGGTGGCAGTGATTGCAGGCGAGGATGCAAGTAGGGAGGCTAGCGACGCATGCATACGCCGGCCACGCTTGGCAGACCTCTCCCACCCAATGGTGATGCTGCACAGCTTTCCAGGGTTGGTTGTGTGTGTGTGTGTGTGTGTGTGTGTGTGTGTGTGTGTGTGTGTGTGTGTGTGTGTGTGTGTGTGTGTGTGTGTGTGTGTGTGTGTGTGTGTGTGTGTGTGTGTGTCTGTCTGTCTGTCTGTCTGTCTGTCTGTCTGTCTGTCTGCTTGTGCTGTACACAGGCTTGCTATTTCGCTCTCCCTCGTTCACTCATTCGCTCAACCCCTGACAGTGCTGGCAACACTTGGATGCGCACGCTCATCGAGCAGCTCACTGGAGGCTGCACTGGCTCGGTCTACGACGACAACGATCTTCGAACGTGAGCGTGTGTGTGTGTGTGTGTCTGTGTGCCTGTGTGTCTGTGTGTATGTGTATGTGTATGTGGATGTGGATGTGTATGTGTATGTGTATGTGTTTGTGGATGTGTATGTGTATGTGGATGTGGATGTGTATGTGTATATGTATGTGTATGTGTATATGTGTGTGTCTCTCTCTCCCTCTCTCTCTCTCTGTGTCTGCCTTTGTCTGTCTGTGTCTCTGTCTGGTTGCCCACCTGTGTCTGTGGGTGTGTACTTTCGTGTACGTGTGTCATGTCACCATCCAGCTGTCAACGTTTCCCGATCACCGTCTCCCAGCCCTCTCTCATTCCATACCTCTTTGGTTTGCCACTTGATCATCAATGGCATCTGGCTCCAGGGCTGGACTTGCTTGCGAGGGCTTCAGGGACGGCAGTGTGAGCGCAATCAAGTCGCACAGCAACATGATGATGCCCAAGCATGCCGTTGGTGGAGCCATCATCCTGTTTCGGTTAGTGGGCACATGCGATGCGGACGCATTGCTTCAATGCAGCACTATTGCCTCTAATACGGTCATACTCACGCACACACACACACACACTCTCTCTCACACACTCACACACACTGGCTCACTCACACACACACACACACTCACACACACACACACACACACACACACACACACACACTCACACCTTCACCTTCACCAGTGAGCCTGGTGCGGCGATTGTTGCCGAGTACTCGCGACGCCACAGCACGGCCCACGATGGCCTCCCCGATGCCAGTGTCTTTTCATCGCCACACTTTGGCAGCTTCCTCAACCTGATGAGCCTGCGGTACGCTGACGGCTACAACCGCCAGTGTCTGGACTTCTCCCACACAAAGGGGAACGGCACACAGCAGCGGGTGCACTGCTCGCAGTTTGCGCTGCTGTGGGTGGACTACGCCGACTTGAAGGCCTCGCCGCACACGGAGCTTGCGCGCATTGGCGAGTTTCTGACAGAGGTGCGCCCACTGCACAGGGACGCACAAGGCCCTTTTGCCATCAACGTGACATGCGCGCTGCACACGCCAGCACGCAGAGGAATCAAGAGGAAGAAGCCCGAAGGGTACCCGACAGCGAACGAAATCATCGCCAAGTACACCAACACGCGCGCCTTTGAACGCGCACGTGAGACCTACGAGCAGCTGAGGGCCTTGGCACGAAAGCAGCAGCAAGCAGGGCACTGGAACGTGTACAACTCCACGGTGAAGCACAGCGGTGCGCAAGTGCCGCGCGCCGACATGAATACGGGGTCTTCATCGCCATCGCACCTGTTGTCACCATCTTTGACATTTCAGAGGACACAGTTGCCACCCGAAAGGGAGGCGGTACAGCTGAGCACAATCGCTGATGTCCGCACAATCATCTCGACCCTGACCCCGTCGGCACAGCCGTGGATTGACGCGTGGTCAAATGATGCGCACGCAGCCGTTATCATCGTGATGGACACCCACCTTTCCGCTGCGCACGCGCGCGAGCATGGCCACCACCGCCACACCAGCACGGAACACACGGCGGGGTTGAACGCAAAGCAGGAAGCAGCTGCGCTCCAGGGCATGTTCCACGCTGTGCATGAGCTGCATCGTGTTGCCGTGCCGGTGCACATTGTGTTTGACAGCGCCCACCTCGCTTACCAAGCAGAGACGGTTCCAGGCACCATTACCAAAACCATGAAGGCGCGTGTCTGTGTGTGTGCGTGTGTATCTGTGTGTGTTTGCGTGTGTTTGCGTGTGTTTGCGTGTCTGCGTTTGTCTGCGTGTGTGTGTCTGTGTCTGTCTGTGTGTGTGTGTGTGTGCCTGTCTCTCATTCTCATGCATGCGCGTATCCGCCTCCCCCCGTCATGGCTTTGCACCCCTGCCTGCCTTGTGTCGCTTCCTCACCCTGTACTGTGCTGTGCTGTGCTGTGCTGCCTCCTACATCTTGCCCCCTCCCCTCAACTGCAGGTATTGGAGAATCTGGACGTGGTTCGGCTGCACCCGTGCCACGTCAGCCCTGAGGAGGGTGGCGACGGCGGTGTGATGGCGTGCGCGGGTGCCCTGCACACGCGACTGCATGCGGCTGGAGTCCTGTCCTGCGCAGCGCTTCGAGCGTCTGTTCAAGATACGGCAGCCGGCGCGCAGCTGGCGCCTTGGTCGTGCCAATCCGTCGCTTCCAAGTACACGTCATCTGCGGGCACAGCATGCTCGTACATGGCGGGCACGTCGTCCGTCGGCCGCATCGTCACTCCATGACAAACCGGCTGCATAGCACAGACGCACGCGCGCGCATGGTCGCCATAGCTCGCTTGTCTCTTGCGTTGTTGATACTGCAAGCTAGGTTGTTTCTTGCTGATTTGTCGTGTTAACATGCCAAGCGTTGCCTCTGCATGCACGTTGCTGGCAGTTCCTCTTCCTCTTCCTGGCGATGGTCGTCGTTGTCGTTACATTGTTGTTACATCTCCTTGTTGGCCTTGCTTTGTTGACTGTCGCGTCGTGTGCGACGTGTTGTGGCGCTGCCGCTGTTGCTGTTAGGCTGTTAGCCAATGGCCAGGTTACCTTTCGTGAGCACGTGTGCATGTGAGCGCACCCACCAAGACACAGTTCATCTTGCATCACGCGTCATCTTCCTCGCTTCGCCTTGTTTGCTTTGCTTGCATGCAAGAGAAAACCGTTGCGCGGAGCGCAGAAGGCGAGCAACCGCGCCGTTTTCTTCTTCGGGAGCGGCGACAGCAACGCTGGTTGATGTGATTGATGCGTTCATTCTCCTCTTGACTGCACTCGACTCCCCAGCATCAGCAGCACACACACACACACACACACACACACACACACACACACGCACCATGGCGGGTGGTTCCTGCGCGACGTTGCTGGCGCGAGCGGTTGTCGTTGTTGGGCTCTTGGTGGTAGGGGTGCCGAGGGTGCAGCCAGCATATGGTGGGCTGGCGGCAAACAAAGGGGGCAGCCTCTTCACGTCCTCCGCCAACATCCACTCGCTCTTCTCCGTGGAGAAGGACATGGCGCAGCTCCTCAAGCGCTACATCCAAGACCAGGAGCATCGCCTGCAGCAGCTCAAGGGCCTGGTGGATGTCATTGAACGAACACCAGTTCCGCCAACCGACAACGACCTTGAACCGCAAGACAGCTTCGGCCTCCTGCATCGCATGGTCCGTCCATTACTCAGCACACAACGCGCGTTACTCCTTGCTGGGTTGCTCTCTCGCTCATTGGCTGCGTGTGTCGGCACCGTGGCTTTCATGCGCCCCAAGTCTGCCTCCAACCTCACACACACACGCACACACACACACGCACACACACGCACACACACACACACACACACACACACACACACTCACGCACGCACTCACACACACGCACGCACACATACACACGCACGCACACATAAACATACAGGTGGAAGGCATGCAGCATGTGCAGGAGCTGTTTGAGAACGACGTCCAGCGCGAGGTGCAGGACGCCCTCACAAACAACGGCCTCCCCAACATGGATGACCTGAAAGGAGGCGCACAAGGCCTTCTGCGCCTCCAACGCGTCTATGCGCTGTGCGTACCCCTGAACCCCTGTGCTCTGTCGTGGCTTTCCTGCCATGCTTGAGCAGCTGTATCCACACACACACACACACACATACATACACACACACACACATACATACACACACACACACAGAGCCGCGATTCCGGTCTCATGTCACACACTTCCCGCCCAACCCCCTCCCTCTGGGGCACAGGAAACCGCAGGAGCTGTTGCCCAATGCCAGCGCTCCGGAGCTGCTTGCCATTGGCCAGGAGGCATACAATCAGAATGACATGGCCAGCGCAGACCGGTGGCTGGAGTTTGCGCTGAGCAAGCTTGACGATGCGAGCGCAAACTACGTGACCGCGCTGGATTACCTTGCCTTTGTTGCGTTCAAGCTGCGTGACCTTCCCCGCGCCATTGAGTACTCTGAGCGGCTCTTGCAACGGGATCCCAACAACACGCGCGTGGCCCTCAACCTCGAGTACTACAACGTCACGCTCAACCGCAACCGCAGCCTGCCAGACCCGCACGCCAAAGACAAGGCCGACGCCCACGATGACGCAGACGTGCGCCACGACCGCGACAACATCCTTGGGCACAGCGAAGAGGATATGGAGCGTTTCAGGCGTCTGTGCCGTGGTGAGACCCTGTATCACCCGCAGAGGCCGCTAACTTGCGAGCTCAAGCACTACAACCAGCCGCACCTGTTCCTCAAGCCCATCAAAGTCGAGCACTTGCACGAGGGCCGACAGCGCCTGCAGGTGAGCGCTGTGTGTGTGTGTGTGTCTGTGTCTGTGTGTGTCTGTGTTTGCGTCTGTGTGTCTGTGCGGTTGTTTGCTTGTCACTGCCAGGCAGCCACCTTGTCTTGCAGCACCATGCAGTTTCCTCCAGCAACAAGTTCTGTACCATCTGCAACCCGAGGATCACACACACACATACACACACATACACACATACACACACAAGTGTTTGACGTGAGCAACTCACCATCTCTTCACCCTGCCACCACGCGACTGCGCTGCGCGCTGCTGTCAGGTCTTCCGCCAGTTTGCATCGCCCGAGGAGTGCAGGCATCTTCAACACGCCGGCAAGCGGCGGCTGGAGCGCGCTGTTGCGTGGACCGATGGGCGGTTTCAGCCCGTGGAGTTTCGCATCAGCACAGCGGCGTGGCTGCAGCCAGACCACGATGCCATTGTCAAGCGCATCCACGGCCGCATTGAAGACGCAACGCAGGTCGATATTGAATATGCAGAGGCGCTCCAGATCTCCAACTGTACGTCATAGCATGTGTGATGCCGAATGTGGTGTACATGTGTGCAGATGCATTGTACTTTGTCTGCGTGTGTGTGTGTGTGTGCGTGTGTGCGTCGCGTGTGCGCGTGTATTGTGTGTTGTGTGTTGTGTTCTCTGTGTGTCGAGACACATCTGCCTTTGTTTGTGTTGGGTTGTGACTGAGTTGGCTCATGTCTTTGTGTGGTGTGGCGCAGATGGCATGGGCGGGTTTTATGAGCCCCACTTTGACCATAGCAGCCGCGGCACCAACCCTGACGGGGAGCGGCTTGCCACCTTCATGATCTACCTCAACCCGGTCAAGCAGGGCGGCTTCACGGCGTTTCCTCGCCTCGGCGCAGCTGTGCAACCCGGATATGGCGACGCCGTGTTCTGGTACAACCTACAACCCTCGGGCGTTGGCGATCCCCTCACCCTGCACGGCGCGTGCCCTGTCCTCCGCGGCTCAAAATGGGGTGCGTATGCATGTGCGTGCGTGTGTGGGTGTGGGTGTGGGTGTGGGTGTTTGCTTGTTTGCTTGTTTGCTTGCTTGTTTGCTTGTTTGCTTGCTTGTTTGCTTGTTTGCTTATGTGCCCGTGTGCATGCGCCGCCTGCTTGTGTCCTTGCGAGTTTCTACCCCCCCCCTCCTCCATTGTTCCTCACTCACGGGATGGCTCTGATTGGTGGGTCATGCTTTTCCTTCGCTTGCTTCTGCTTTCTTTTCTTGACCGCAGTGGCCAACAAGTGGATCCATGAACGCGGCAACGTGTGCCGAAAGCCGTTGCCAGGAGAAACATTCACCGCGTATTCATCAGCAGAACAGCGGCAGCAGCACTGCACACCTCGTTTGCCGGTTACATGACTGTCTTTTCTCTTTTCCTTCCACTCTTCCTCCTCTTCGTATCTCGATCATCACCAACCCCCCGATGGTCGTCTGACGACGTGGTGTATGCGTCTGTTCTTTGATGATGCTGTTACCGTGCGTCTCGTATTCGATTGTACATGCAACAAAGCAGAGCAAGCAGCATAACAAACACACACATGAAGGGACAGAGTACAGTCACACACACACACTCACTCACACTCACTCACTCACTCACTCACTCACACACTCACACACTCACTCACTCACTCACACACACACACACACACACACACACACACACACACCCTTTGTTTGCTGCAATTGCCTTCCCCATCTTTGAGCGCTGGGAGCAGTGTAAGATTTCAGCGAGTTTTCCCCACACACACACACACACACACACTCACTCACTCACACGCTGACCCTGCATCAAATCTTTCAATCATTTGCCCAAACCCAAACAAACGCTGACAACAACAATGACGACACTGGCAGCCTTGCTTCGACGACAGCTGCGCTGTGTGACTGCGATCACCAACAGCGCCAGCACTGCTCGTCGCGCTTTGTTCGTCTCACCAGCGACACCAGTACGTGCATGCGTGCGTGCGTGTGGGCGTGATCCTGGCACGCGTCTGCGTGTGCAATGCTGACTGATCATGCCGTGCACCTCCCAACTCTTCGTCCCAATTCCGTTGCTTTAAAGTTCGTTGTCGCTGTGTTCGATCACTGTCGCCATCATCACCGCCACCACCATCGTCTCAGTGCACACATACCATGCCTGCCCTGTACTCTGTCGCTACCAGATGAAGAAGGTGCCCACACACATCGAGGACAGGTTGGGTGTGGTGCTGTGTCCGTCTGTTCGCCTCCTCGTGACTCGTGCATTCTCCTTCCGTCTCAGTCGCTCGCTTCACCTCACCCCACTTTCTCCTCTCTCCCTCTCTCCCTCTCTCCATTGCTGGCATTGCACACGCTTTCAGCACGCTCCACTTTGACGACAGCCTCAACATCCACTTGACCACGCGCGATTCCATCAAAGGGCGACACATCGTTGAAGAACTTGGCATTGTCATTGGAACGTCCGCCAGGTCAGACGTCCGTGTGTGTGTGTGTGCGTGTGTGTGTGTGTGTGTGTGTGCGTGTGTGTGCGTGCGTGTGTGTGTGTGCGTGTGTGTGTGTGTCCCGTGTCCCGTGTCCCGTGTCCCGTGTCCCGTGTCCCGTGTCCTGTGTCTTCATGTGCTTTCATGTGTGTTTGCCTGTGCTCTTGTGCCTTGTCGTTCTCCCACTCTGCCACCCCACCACTCCGCCACTCCACCCCTCTGCCGCTCTGCCACTCCGACATGTATTTGCGGCACATACTGCACTCACTGCGACTCTCGTGCCCACGCGAAACAGGTCAAAGTCCATCTTCCACGACCTGTTGCAGCGGCTGCGTGGCATTGTTGGGGGATCGCTGACCAGCTACGGTGAGCTCTTCGCCAACACAACGGCAGAGGCAACCCACAAGGCCATGCTCGATGCTCAGCGTCTCGGCGCAACCGCCATCATCAGGGTACGCACTGGACACGCAGTTGCTTCTGTTTGTTTGGGGGTGTGGGTATATGATGTGTACGTGCTGTCACTGTTCGTGTGTACATGGAGGTGTGTATGTACGCCTGTGCGTGTGTATGTGTACGAACATATGTACATACATGGTAATATTTGTGCATGCAGCAGGTTGTGTGTGTGTGTGTGTGTGTGTGTGTGTGTGTGCGTGCGTCCTTGAACCCCCCCTCCCTCTCATCGACCTCATTATCAGCTGCCGCTCTCGTCTGCCGCTCTCACTCGCCCTTACCAATCTCACCGCCCTTGCCAGACCCGCTATCAAAGCGCAGCCACGGATTCCAAGCTCACGGGCGTGAGCTGCTTCGTCATCTGTTACGGCACAGGTAAATTCTATGGGGACGGGGACAACCGGGGCGCAGAAACAAGCAACACATTGTTTGCCTGTCTGCCTGTCACACAACACATCATATCAAATCATGCCATGAGCACGCCAATGGCACGCACACGCACACGCACAAATTCAAATACACACACGCACACACGCATGCACACACGCAATCTTCCACCAACCTCATGAACATCGCTGTGCGCATGCAACCCCCCTGTTTCTTGCTCATTGCAGCTGTTCGGGATGAAGAAGATCCAAGCGTGAAGAAGAGCGAGTAGCACAGCCAGGCCGCTCCAATGCGTGCATGCACCCGCACTGGTTTTTCTTCTTTTGTCTGTGGTTTTTTGGCCTGCCTGTGTTCGCCAGCTCATCATTCAAAGTTATCTTTTCTCTGCATGCCTCAACTGTTTGGTTGGTGGCCCCGTTTCATCAATGCGACAGCCAAAGTAACAACAGCAACGTGTGCAGAACACACGCAAGGATAAAACGAAACGCAAGCAATCGATCAATCACACAACAACGACGGCTACTGCGCCCTTAGGCTTTCTGTTCCCTCAAACCCACACAAAAATGATGGTCCAGCTCCCCCACAACACTCATGTAACGTGCAATACGCAACACACACACACACACACACACACACACACACACACACACACACACACACACACACACACATAGCGACAGAGCGACACCGATGGAGAAGTCGTGCATTACGGCAAGTGCAATCGTGCCCGCTTCAACATCCCATCCTCATGTCCGATTTCAGGCGGTCGGGCTCGCCAACCACTTCTCCAGCACATGCTTCACCTGCAAGCCAGCACAAATCAAACACGCAAACAGCGTGAGCCTTTGGATAAGAGATGCCGGTCCACGCAATGCAGCTTGGCTGCCGCACCTCACAGACACACATGCACACGACACACGCACACGCGCGCTGCTCTGTTTTTCGGCACACCAACACAGCAAAAACACAGCGGAACACAATCTCCACGCTCACCCAAGCAACACAAATCGTGTACCTTGTCCAGGACGGGAAGTGTGGAAGTCTCCAGAACACTCAAGCAGCGCTCAATTCCCATCGCATCCATTTGGCGTCGAATCGACACCAGCTGCTTTTCAGACTGTGAACGAACAAATGTGATCGATAGGAATTGTGGGGGTCGGAGTGTAAGTGTGTGCGCATGCGTGAGCTGGCTTTGGGGGCGGGCGTCTCAATTAGATGCGTCGTCACAAGCAGGTCGCAGTTAGCGAGAGCAGAGAAGAGCAGAAGTGGCGAACAGATGAAACACAAACGGGGATAAAGAAGCTTGACATGCGCTGCCAAAATACACACACACATACACACACAAACACACATACACACATACATACACGCACACACACACACACACACACCTCGGCGTGGCAGAAGGCGCAGATGATGGCCAGGTGCTCCTTGTTAGACTTCATGCACGTGTCCACAAGCATGGGCGCCTTCTGGCGCATCGACAGCGGTGACTTGAGCATCAATCGAATCGCCTTTTCGCAATCGTCGTTCACATCCTCCACCTGCTCAACAAAGTGCTGCAGCGTCGCCTGCCACGCCTTCTCCAGAGACGCCAGGTACCACAGATCCTCGGCGCTCGCCACAGAGACGAGCACACTCGCCAGAAGCTCGTAGTCGCCAATGGCCATCACTTGCTTCAGGACCCGTTCCCAGAGTCCAAGATCATACAGGTCAAAGTCCAGGCACAGGTGGACAATCAACTCAAGTGCCGTGGGGTCTGTTGTTTGAATCACAACACAGCAACACCAGCGTAAATGTTTTGGTTTCAGTGAATACGCGCGCGTGAGATATCAAAACACATGTCTGATGGCTGCACTCAAGCGAGAGCGCTTTGGCACGCATGCCCGACACCGACCGACCCTTCGTATGGTGAATCTGTACACGCCCACAATACGCACACACACACACACACACACACACACAAACGCGCACACAAACGCGCACACACGTACGCATGCACACGCACGTACGCATGCACAGGACATAACGCAACTGGAAGAGTACACACCTGACGGGTGGTTCCGCAAAATGCTCTTGGCCTGTGCAATTTTAAATGAACAAAGGCAAGGGATAACAGCGATGCGTGTGAGTCACACTACAAGCGGGACAGCGGAGACATGTGCGACGACATGAATGTATTACCGGCACCCAATCACACACACGCACGCACGCACGGACGTGCTTGAGCTTACAATGCTCTGCTTGTTCGTTCTCTCAAACTGCAGTGGTGTTTGGAAAATGTCGAGATCCTCCAGACGAGAGGCGTAGATGAGCGACAACAGGTGCTCCTGCAACTCCTGTGGCTCTTGCTCCATAATCCTGTTCACAATGCAAATGTCGCAGTTGTTGGTGAACACGAGGTTAGCCCAGGCTGCCGCGCAGAAGCATCCTCCATCACACACAACCCCAACACACACACACACACACACACACACACACACAAGCACACAGCCCAAGCACACAGCCCCAACACACACATACACACGCGCAAACACACACACACGCACGCGCGCAAACACGATCACGCAAACGCAACTTGTACTCACGAGGCAACAAAAGACAGCGTTGTGATGGAGAAGAGAGCAATGCATGCACGCACACGCGCACTGAGCGTTATCTTGCTCGACCCCTCAACCATGGCAAAGTTGATGAGGAACAGAGCACTCTCCTTCACATCCACCATGCGTAACAGCGCAATGGCACGATGCAACGACAACGTGCTGTCGTCTGCAGTCTCCACTGTTTCGTGCACAATGGTTTGGTGGCCAGCAAACGAGCGACCAGCATTGGTACAGCTGTACCCCGACGTGCCTGTTCGCCCCAGGTCCCCGCCAACAGTGCCATCGCACATGCTGCTTTCGTCCCCATCATCATCACCCCACAAGCTCCCCAGGGTAAGTCCTCCACCACGGCGTGCGCCTGTACGGGCGCCACCACCACCACCAATTCCGGTGGCATTGCTGCCGCGGACCATGCTTCGCCCCTGCATGTGCGTACGGTTCCGTGCCGTTGCATTGACTGCGGCCGTCACGTTACCGCCGCCGCCGCCGCTGCCGCCACCACCGCGCTGGTTCTCTTTTCCTTCCGCGTCGCACGCCTTGAGATAATCCTCCACCAGGCGAAGGCGAATGGCCTCCGTGTCAACGTCGTGCAGATCTCCAATGTTGGTTGCCAGCGCATACAGGTCGTGCCCGCGTGCTGCCAGCTCGGCAGCCTCCGCTCCGATCGTGTACTGCTCAAACAGGTGCACGATGAGCTCCTCGGGCTGCTGCACCAAGGACAGTGTCTCGTCCGCATGGATACGCGCCTGCTGCAGCAGGTGGAGGGTTTGTGTTTCGCGCAGCAGAAGGCTGAAGCGCTCCCTCGCCTTGGCCACCTGCCTCGCCATACCGCGTCCAGTACTGCTCGCGCTGCCGTTTTTGTTCCCACGAAGGGACTCAAGCCACTTGCCTGCAACCTCAACAGCAAACTGCAGCACGGTGATCTTGTCTTGCCCCGTTGGCAGCACGTCTGCCACCTCCTTTGCACATGCCGTGGCAAACTCCATACTCTCCATCTTGCGGAGCAAACCCATCACCGTCGCAAACGTTACGGCGCCACCGCCCTCGCTGCCCGCACGTTCGCTGCACGCGGGCAGCGAATCAAACATGTCGCTGCCAACGCCGAGGCCAAACGACGACGGCGACGAAAGTGGTGCAAAGAGCAAGCCATCCGCATTGGCAGGGCCTGTGATGTCATTGCTGCGCTCGCCGTCGCCATGCGCTGTGCCGCTGCTCGCCAAGCCGCGCGAGAGCGCCTCGCCAATCACGGCCGTGTAAATATCATCGGATGGAAGCTTCAGCAGCCGCGCCAGTGGCAACAGCTTATCCACGCTGTCCAATGACAGCTCGGGCTTGAGAATGTCCAGGGCATCGCCGAGGAAGAGGTGGTGGAACGGCAGGCGCCGCTGGGCCAGGTCGTGGTGTGCCTGACCAACAACTTGTGCGAGCTCCTCATGAATGTACTGCAGCTCTTCCTGAGGCACGGGCTGCTGCCGAGTGAAGCGACCGAGCACACCAAGCACCAGCTTGGCGCGGCCAATGAGGGCCTGGTCCCACACGAGCGTCTGCCATGTCGGCTCATCTTCAGGCGACGGCGACGCGTCGTGTTCGCTGCCGTCTTTAGGCAACACTGCCTCCGTCTTGACGCCTGTGCCCTCATCGCCAGCTGCAGCCACCTCTTCGCCCTCGCCGTTGCCGTGCCGTTGCAAGCGGCGGCGCCGAGCCCTTGCCCCACCGCTCCCGGTGGCGCCAGAAGCCGCTTTGGCCACGTGCTGCAGCACCCGCTCCAGCACCTCCAGAACAAAGCCCACGCGCTCGTAATCGTACGGGTTGGTGAGGCGCAGGCACGTGTGCGAGAGCGTGTCTGCCAGGGACGCGGGGTCTTGCAGCAGCTGCACCATGTACAGCGCGTTGTCCTTCAAGTCAGTGCGCACGCGCACGCGATCCTGCACATCCACGAACATGGCACTTGGGCTGGAAGTCATGCACAGCGCTTCAATGTATGCGCAGTACACGCGCTCGCGCGCCACGCCGTAGTCAGATGCGAGATCGAGGCACAGCGACAGGTCAAAGTCGCTGTGCTCCAGAATGGCACCGAAATCAAACGCCGGGTTCTCGCGTGAAAACTGTTCGCGCTGGACGGGGATGTGCAGTCGAGACAGGCGATCCCACCACGACGCGTTCTGGTACAGCTCCTCGCACTCGGCAAACACATCGCTGCTCTTCCACAGGATGGCGCCGCCAGAGCCAAGCAGCGCCAGGCGAGCAAGCTTGTCGTAGTTCTGCTTGGACGCCTTGACAGCCCTGCGCACCGCGGAGAAGCCGTCCTCTAGCGGCAGCAGCGCCAAACAGCACGAGGCAAGGCCCAGGTCCGGCGTTGGGCGCGCAATGCATGCGCGAAGCAGCACGCCAACCGTCTCCGCGACCTTGCTGCACACCAGTGGAACCGCTCGCCCATACACCGCCTGGATTGTGCGCGCCTGCTGTGCGTACGGAGCACTGTCTTCGTCGCCATCTTCGCCACCATCACCATCCGCACCACCCTCAACGGCAACGTGCCAGAAGTGAGCAAACTGTGCGCATGTGCCGACAGCGCGCAGTGCAATGTGCAGCGCAAGCTGGAGCTGGTTACTCTGGCACAGCGTCTCATACAATTCAAAGGCTTGCGTAAGGGTGGCGTTGACGGAGCGCAGCCCAAGTGCAATCGCCGTCGCACGACCGTCACCATCGCCATCACCCGCGTCATCGTCGTCATGTGCAGGGGGCGACGGGCCGCCCACGCGCCCTGTGGTGCGGCGCTGCTCGTACGTCAGCATGCCGCTGCCAAACGATGCGCTGGACCCCGTGAAGGTGGAGGCAGCAGAGACAGCGGGCGTGACCTTTGGCAGCAGGTTTTGCTGGAGGGCCAACACGCCAGGCAGCACCGTGTCCATTTCAAGCACAAGGCCATCCTGTCGCCACAGGTCTTTGTGCAAGCTGCGACGCAGCCCACGCATGTGCTCTGCAACATCTGCGGCCACGTCAAAGAGAGCTGTTGTGGTAATGGTTGCGGTACGGGCAGTACTTGCGTGTGAGCACATGGCCACGGCATCGCCTTCTTTGCCCTCCTCTTGGCGCTGCTGGTGACGCGTGGCTGCGGACCGTGCAGCGTACACTTCCGACGCCTCCCACGCCTCTGCGTTCTTCTTCTTCTGCTTTTTCAGCTGTCGGCTGCTACTGCCTGCACCTGCGGCACGTGTGGGCTGGAGATGCGCAGGGGCAAAGCTGCTGTGATGCAGCGAGTACAGCTGGGCGCCTGCTGCTCCAGACAATGGCACACCCTCACCCTCTTCCTCCGGCGCGTGTTCGCATTGGAGCGCAACGTCGAGTGCGAGGCTGCAGCTCCGAGTCATCTCAAGCGCGTCGCAAAGCACAGCTGCCGAGCACATGGCTGTGCACTGGCTGCAGAGTGCCTTGACCCGGCGAAGCAGCTGCAGGAGTGACATGGAGGACGGGGACGCCGCGAGCGCGTCGTGCTCATCGCACGTCAGCTCGTCCGACATGGTGAGCAGGCGCTCGCACACATCAAGGATGTTGTCGCAGTCGGCTTCTTCGGGGCGCTGTGCAACAATGTCCTCACACACGTCCAGGATCATACCCAGGTAGGCGGCAGCGCAGTGCATCGACAGCAGCCACGCCGTGACCAGCCGCACCATCTCAGACAGGCGAATGCCAAGCAGCGTGGAGATGCGCTGGATGTTCTGGCGCAGGCGCACGTGTTTGGCTGCGAGGGAAGCCATGCCAGCGGCGCGTGCGTGCCTGGCATCGTCGTAACCGCCCCCTGCTTCTGCATCTTCTGTTTGTGCTCCTGTCCGCCCGCGTGATGCAGATGCGGACGCGGAGGTGGCAGCGCCACTCCTTGCGCCCATCCTTGTATTCCTCGTGGAGGCGGCTGCCTTGTCATTCTCCTTTGCATGTCGCGTCGTTGAAGCACGACCACTGCGGCTGCCATCGCCGTCGTCCGCGCTGTCATCAAGCACGAGCTTGCGCAGGAACTTGGCAGCCATGCCCTGTCGCCCGCGGGCGGTGGCAAACTCAGCGGCACCGACGGCGACGCCATAGTCGCGCAGCGCCTGCCACATGGCATTGAGCACAGCGTGCGTGTACACGAGGTGGTCCATGCTCACATCTGTGCCGTACCCACTCTGGGACGCACCAAGCCGCCCCACTACCGCAGCACCCGCCGCTGGCGCCACTGCTCCACTCCCAGCATGTGCACACGGCCGCTCTGTGCCAGCGAACACGGCAGCAATGTCCGCTGCGGTGGTTGCAGTCCACACATTGTGCGCACGCACGAGCGTGTCCATGACCTCCGTGCCGAGGCGAACAGTGTTCCGCCACGTGTCTGGGTCGGCGCCGTAGCAGCCGGCGTCCCTGCACGCCTCCAGTGCCCAGGCGCTCAGCTCAACCCCGACAGCGAGGGAGAGGCCGCGCGGGAGGCCGCGGAAGAGATCACAGGCCTCCGCCACCTCGTTCCGGTAGCAGAGGTTGCGCGCCCGCACCACATACACAAAGGAGCGCGGGATGTGCTTGTACGCAGCAACGACCTGCAGCGCGTCGTCTATGGCCGTGTCCTCCTCAAAGTTGGCCAGAATGACCTTCACCAGGTTGCGGGCGGCGCTGACGTTGGACAGGTTCTCGTTTGCCACGCCGTACGGCAGCAGCATCGTCTTGAGGGTGAGGATGCGGTGGTGCTCCTGGAACTCGCGCGTCTGTGCCGCCGGCCACGTGCGCGCTTCCTCAAACAGCGCCAGCAGCTCCGGGCTGCACGGCACCCACACTGCCCGCATCATGTGGGTGGTGGCGCGAACCTTTGCGGTCTCGTCCCCCATACAGGGGATGATGGCCAGCGCCTTGCCCGTCCACGAATTGCTGAGCACAGCGGTGCCGTGCGTGCGCTGCACACTGGCCAGGTGGGCGACGTACGCCTCCAGCACTGAGTCCACGGTGACGGTGTGGCGGCGGGCGTATGGGATGAGGTCGTTGTCCACCACCTCTCGCACGAGCTCACACGCGGACGTGCGGTCCAGCATCTTCACCATGATGTCCGTTGGCGAAGCGGCCGTGTGCTCTGCAAGCGAGATGGCAAAGCCCGCGTCCTGCTTGAGAAAGTTGATGTCCTCCAGCTGCGTACGCAGCGACGCGAGTGCCCGCGCCGCCTCCGCTGCAGGGTCCTGTGCGCTCTGCCTGCCGCTGTTCTGGCGATCGCCGCACAGCATCTGCACAAAGTGGCCCGGGTGGTGGGCGCCCTTGATGTTGCGCACGGCAAGGGACGTGGTCTTCTGGCTGCACCCGTACATGACCAGCAGCTCGTCTGCAGCGGCAATCAGGTCCAGCGCGCATGCGGGCCACGCCTCCTTCTCCGTCACCTCCATCACCAGGCAGCGGCGGCGCACCCAGTCCACGACAAAGGCGTGGTCCTGCCGCATGACGCTGGGCACGAGGTCGTGCTCAAACCAGGTGAGGAAGCTCGAACAGGGCACCATCTCCGGCAGCGCGGTGAGAATGGCAACAATCTGGTCGTGGAACCCGCACTCGCGCATGTGGCGGTACCACAGGATGGACGCTGTGCCAATGCGGCCCGAGGAGACGGCCACCAGCAGCTCTTTATACAGGTCTGCTTCCATAAACCGCAGCCACTCCTGCGCGTTGAAGTACCCGTGCGCTGCGAGTTGGAAGGTCGTCAGTCGGTTCATTGCCGCCAGCACCTGCGCGTTGAGCGCACCAAAGTCCTCTTCCTCGTCGGACGAGTCAGCGCTGGAGTTCTGGGCCGTTGCCCGCTGCTTTCTTGCGGCGCCACTGCCGCTCCCTGCTGCTCCTGCTGTTGTTGTCGATCCACGCACGCCGCTGCTTGCTTCCTCCAGGCGGTTGTGCGCGTACGTCAGCAGCGCGTGCACCTCCTGCGTGTTGGCGACGGGCGCGTGCAGAGCGCTTTGCACAACAAAGCCAATGTCCTGCACCTGGTCCAGCGCAGCCATGAGCTCAGCCACGTTGGCCGTCTTTCCTGATGCTGTTGATGCTGTTGTCCCATCGCCATTGCCGACGGCGTCCAACAGGCCGTTCACGCGCACCTCATGCACGATGTTGGGGTTGAGGTCGTCGTACTTGTGTGCCAGCTGCAAGGCGTCATCGTAGCGTCCGCGCTGCAGCAGGTGGTAGAAGCGGTCACGCGGCACTGTCGGCTCCAGCGCGCGGATGTGCACAGCCGGTGGCCCCTCGCTCTCCTCTGCATACGTCGCCTCCAACAGCAGCACCCTGTAAGCGTGTGTAGTTTATGTGTGTTTTTGATGTTTGCGAGTGAGGGCGGTGGAGGGGGCAGCGTTCAGAGGAGCACGTGTGTGTGCGGGTGTGTGTGTGTGTTTGTGAGGGAGAGAAGGGTTAGTCGCATTCATTTGCGTGTATGCTTGAAACAACGAATTACGACCAAACGTGCGTGCATGTCTTGTCGTGGACAGCAGTATGTGGCAGCGGCATCACATCCAAGTAAACAGCAGGGCTTACGTCTGTGCGTGTTGTTGGGGCACGACAAGCGACTGTTCCGAGACCGGGAGCGTGAACGTGTCCTCCATCGACGGGACATTAGCAAGATGCATCGTGTGTTGTTGTTGTTGTTGCTGCTGCTGTTGTGACGGTGCGTTTGCTCGGGTGGCAAGGAAGGCCACGCGGTATGGGTGGCCGGGATCACTGGTTGGCACCAGCCACATGCGATGCGCATTTGCATCGCGTGTGTGCACGAGAATCATTGCTGCTCGAAGCCAGACACTGCCGCGGATAAGTAAGCGCAACATAAAGGATGTTGTGAGGAAAAAGGAGTTGAGACAGGGCACGAAGTGACAAGAGAAAGCACAACCAAATCCCAATCACACACACAACGCACACAAACAACACACACACACACACACACACACACACACAAACAACACACACACACAACACCCCACACCTCATGGTGCCGTTGGTGTCCAGGAGAACCATGTAGTCCTCGTGTTTGTGATGGAATAGTACACAGTCCGCCACCTCCGCTGCCAGGAACGGCGTCACATCGAGCGAGTCTTGAAGCTCGAGCCCATCCGTGTTTGCCACCCATACAGCCACTTGTGCGCCAGACTATCATATGCACGCAGTCCAGAAATGTGTGTGTGCGAGTTGGCGTATTGGAGAGAAACTGAGCAAGCTGGCAAATTCGAGTGCTTGCGTTTGTTAACAACACAATGGGAACCGCTCTCGCCCTCCTTTCCACCACTGCAGTTCTTGCCGGGTCATGCATGCCACAACACCCACGAATGACGCGTTGGCAGGACGCACCCAAGCTGTCAGTAGTGCCTGGCCGGTTGGGGAGTAGACGAACATGGTGCCTGTGATGGTGTCGGTGCTCGTGTCGACAAAGCCAGAGAGAAGAGTCTCCTTCTGCAGCACAATGTTTGCCTTGATCTGCTTCACGCCCTGCAAATCCCCAGTGGAGATGCCTGCGTTGTGCACAAGGAAAGAGGGCACATGCGTGTGGTTGGTGAAGCCATGACGAAGACAACTCGTGCCCGTGGATGAAGAACTTGCCGCATGCAATCACGATGGCAGACACGGAAACCTTTCTTTTTCACATTCACATGCACATCGAAGCCACAAACATGCCTGTGTGCATGTGTGCCTGTGTGCATGTGTGCATGTGTGCATCAATGGTTTGTGTGCTTCTCCGTACAGTCTCTGAGTCGGGCCAGATCCACGTTCCAGAACCGGAAGAGTTTTCCTCGTGCTGTCGACACGAGAAACTCGTATGCATCCACATCTGCACACGGCCAAGTGCGCGTGGAACGGTGCGCGTGCGTGTATGTGTACACGCGTGTGTGCATGTAAATGTGTGTGTATGCATGTGAATGTGTGTGCATTTGAATTTGTGTCAGTGTAAAAAGTGTGAGTGCCTGTGGTGGAACGGAAGCGAGAAGGCACGCGGTGTCACTGATGTAGCTAAGGAAGGGAAACCTGCAGGCATTATTCATCGCAGCCAGCAGGGCTTTGGTGCCGAGCAACACACCCTTCATTACAAACAGCGACATGTGCATGCAGACACAACCACAAAGCATCCAAAACAACGCACACACGCTCATCAACGAACGCACCGGCTCCCTGGATTCTGTGGAAAGCAACAGTGACAAAACCGTCACCAGACTGGGGTTTCACCAACACCTGCAGCAGTGCGCGCGTGCGTGTGTGCGTGTGTGCGTGTGTGCGTGTGTGTGTGAGTGAGAGTATGCGAGTATTTGAGTGTGGGTGAGTGTTTGTGAGTGTGTGTGTGTGTATGAAACGATCAACGCTTGATGCCAATGACATGCCTTCGTGGGGCACGATGTACGTGCACCCGCGCTGAACGACACGCGCAACAGCTTTGGAAAATAGCTCACATCCCGACGCGTACCCCCCCCCCCACAAAGCCACCACATACACACACATACACACACACACACATACACACATACACACACACATACACACATACACACACAAACGCACCTGTGAGAGGAGAACGCGCTTTGTAGCGGCATCCAGCAGATGGACGGCACCACCCCTGGGATACAACACACGTGTGCACTTGTGTTAGAAACTTACACGTGATGTACAGGAATATGCAGTTTGTATGCATGTGTGCATGCACGTGTAATTTTTTTTTGGCATAGACAACCGGCCGATACGTTGGCCCTGCGTCTGTGGTCAACTCACTCATCGGCAATCACAAGAAACTCTGTGTCTCCTCCCCAGGCGACGTGCGTGACCTTGTGATCTGCAATGGTCCGAAAAGCAAAGCAACATCCAACACGCAGGCAGTGAATAACAGATCATTGTAGAGCGTTCGTGGTTGTGTGTTTGCGTGGTGCGTGTGTGTGTGTTGTGTGTGTGTGTTGGAAACAAAAAGTGAGACGGAAGCAGTAGAGTGCCAACGTATCATGTGTGCGCAGACATTAACTCACAAACATGAACACACATACCCCAACAACCAGCAATCCAAAGGCTATAAACCCAGGGCAACCATAACAGACGAACCAAGGTCGAGGGAAGCGGCAACATCGGTGCACGCCTGGTTGAAGATGTAGACTTGGGTGTCCAGGGCAACGCAAGTGTGTGCGTCGTTTGAGGCAGCACACCATCGCGTCAGAGGCTCGTCACCAGCATTGCTGTTGGCCACCTTGAACTGAGCTCGTGTTTGCAAGTTGAAGAGTGCAGACGAAGCCGCGGTGCGGGCGCTTTCCGCCTTGCCTGACGCGGGTGATGAGAAGTTGCGCGTCTCATCGTACGCGTCATCTGCGCCCAATCCCACGACCTCCCACGTCATGGCGGTGACTTGGGCCGTGCTTGAGGCAGTGTAAAGGGTGGTTCAATCTGCTACTAAACAGACAAACAACGAACCAGCGTGCACGCAGCGAGGGCGTGAGAACGACGTCCGTTGTTGCTTCTTCTTTGTTGTCGATGGTGGATTGACATGAACGAAACAGGCACGAGCCGTGCCGTGCTGGAAACGAAGGTCATACATTCACATGCACACACACACACACACACACACACACACACACACACACACACACACACACACACACCAACGGTCTTCTTGCTGTGGTTTGAAATTTCCCGCCCGTCGAGTGTGTCGATAATCCGCTGTATCTTGCAAAGAAATGGCGCTGGCTTACGGGGCTGTGGTTGTGTGTGGTGTTGTTGTTTTGCTTCTTTGTTGTTTTGCTTGCTTGCTTGCTGCCACAATCTCTCCGTGACAAAGAAGAAGAAGAGAAAGGCTGCCACCAGCTACCCTGCATCTGCATCTGTTGTTTGTGTTTACTCCATTTGCTCCCCCTCCCCACTCCCAGCGCACCGCTTGCCCGGCACGCTCACCACTGCCATAGAGGGAGCCACGCAGCGAGACTGCCTGAGCTTTTGAGAGCGGGTGATAACTGGCGATCGTCGTCGTGGAAGGTTGACCCCTTTCGTGCCAGTCACAACAGCCACATCGCACAAGCCAAACACTACTGCCCTTGGCACTGCTGAAGAAAGGTACACAATCTTGATCCAGTTCAAGGGCTGTGACACATGCGTCTGAAGACCGAATCGCAACGCCACCTCGTGGTGGTGTTGTGGCTGACCTGAAGTCCCTTGTTCAGCTTCACTTGTGGCTCTGTGCTGCGCATGAAGCTTCCGTTCTTCTTGTCACTGCCTTGTTGCCTGCTGCCCCGCATGCTCCCTTGTCCCTTGCTGCCGTGCTGTGTTGCTTCAACCGCCTCGTCTTTCTCCCCCCCCCTCCTTCTCTGTGTTGATGCTCTCCTGCTGGGCGGTCGTTGTTGCTTGCTGGAGCCTTTATTACCAGCGCCTCATGATCGCTTCTGCCTTGATGGTATCCCAGCTGGGGCAACCGTGCATCATTGCCTTCCTGTACCCGCTCATCCTTGTTGGCCTCATGATCGTTGCCATGCTCATATGGTTGCAGAAACGGCTCAGCATGGACCGGCCTGGCATTGCGGCAACGCAGGCCATGGAGCGCCACCGCTCCCCATCAACGCCATTGCCGCCACTGCCGGAAGGGGTGGGTGAGCACAGTGTGCTCTGTGTGCTCTGTGTGCTGTGTGTGTGTGTGTGTTGTCGCTGCGTTGGTGTGGTTCGTCGGTGCTGTTGTGCTCGCCAACGCGAAGAAAAGCAAAACAGAAGGCTGACTAGCTGGGACACTGTCGCTTGCATTTGGTGCAGGCACCACGTCAAACCATTGAGAACTACGAACTTGGCAAGGTTGGTTCGGCTGCTTACAATTGTGTGTGCTTGTGTGTGTATGTATGTTCGTTCGTTTGTTTGTTTGCTTGCTTGCTTGCTTGCTTGGTTCTCGATTCTCTATCTCCGCTGTCTGTGTCTCCGCATTCTTCGCTGCCATTGCCTGGATGAAGCGTTCAATGCTCTATTCGACCACCAACAGCAGCAGCAGTTGCAGCGCCAGCCTCTACCACTCACTCACCCACTGTCACCTGCGTTGCTGTTTTGCGCAACCAGACAATTGGCAAGGGCAACTTTGCAAAGGTCAAGCTTGCGCGGCACAAGTTTACACAGGTGGAGGTGGCCATCAAGATCATTGACAAGCGAAACATGTCTGACAGCAGCCTCTCCAAGGTGTGCGACAGACGGCGCGCAAGAGTGCGTGCGTGTCTGTGTCAGTGTGGGTGTGAGAGTGCGCGTGCGTGTCTGTGTCAGTGTGTGAGCTGGTGCAGCATACTGACTTGGAGTAGCTTCATCGCAAGCGCTCACGAGCAAACGATGACAACCCCCCGCTCTCTCTCACACACCACACCAAAACCACGTGCTGTCCATTGTCACTCTGCAGCTGATGCGGGAGGTGCGCATCATGAAGATGCTTGACCACCCGAACATTGTCAAGCTGTATGAGGTCATTGACACGTCGGAGAAACTCTACCTTGTCATGGAATACGCCAGCGGCGGTCCGTTGGCGTGCTTGCTTGTTTTGTGTGTGTGTGTGTGTGTGTGTGTGTGTGTGTGTGTGTGTGTGTGTGTGTGTGTGTGTGTGTGTGTGTGTGTGTGTGTGTGTGTGTGTGTGTGTGTGTGTGTGTGTGTGTGTGGGTGGGTGGGTGTGTGTGTGCGCGCGCGCGCACCCGTAATGCATCCCCCCCCCCGGAAAAAAATAGCCCCTGTTCACCTCTGCTTGGTTTGGCCTCGCACATTTGTTCGTCCTGTGTCGTCACCACCAGGGGAAGTGTTTGACTACCTTGTCAACCACGGCCGCATGAAAGAGAAGGAAGCGCGCATCAAGTTTCGCCAGGTGTGTGTGTGTGTGTGTTAGCTTGTACTTAGTGCCTTTTGCTCGCTCTGTTTCCCCCCCCCCCCTTTTGCTGCCCACTCATCTGTGTGCAACACTGACACGGTGCCCGCTGCTACTGATGCTGTCGCTGATGCTGCTATTGCTGCTATTGCTGCAGATTGTGAGCGCGATCCAGTACTGCCACTCGAAAGGAGTTGTGCACCGCGACCTCAAGGCAGAGAACCTCCTCCTCAGCCAGGACCTCAACATCAAGATTGCGGACTTTGGTCAGTCCGTGAAACAGGACGCATGTGTGCATGAACTGCAGCGCGGATATCGCTCGTATCCGCACGTGTACCCAAACATACTTCACTTTCTGGATGGCTTCTCGCTCACACGCGCACACAACACGTACATACATACTCACTCACTTACTCACTCACTCACTCACTCACTCACTCACTCGCTCGCTCGCACATCTACAGGGTTTGCGAATCAGTATCGGAGCGGGCAGAAGCTTGACACGTTCTGCGGCAGTCCGCCCTACGCTGCGCCCGAGCTGTTCCAGGGCCGCGAGTACGATGGTCCCGAGGTCGACGTGTGGAGCCTCGGTGTCATCCTGTACACGCTCGTGTCAGGCACGCTGCCGTTTGACGGCGCCACGCTCAAGGATCTTCGCGCCCGTGTTCTTCGCGGGAAATACCGCATTCCTTTCTTCATGTCAACAGGTCTGCCGCTACACGCGTGCTGTGTGCATGGCTCTGTTGTGTATGCGTGTGTGTGTGTGTGTGTGTGTGTGTGTGTGTGTGTGTGCGTGTGTGTGTGCGTGTGTGTACGCGTGTTGATCCCTTTATCTCACTGTCAACCAACAAATCACGCATTCATCCATCCAGAGTGTGAGGATCTGTTGAAGAAGTTCCTTGTGCTGAATCCAACACGCCGCACATCCCTCACTGCCGTCATGACAGACGTATGTTGGAACATTCGCGGCGGCAGGTGCACGGGTTGTGCGTACGTGCGCGTGTTCCTGTGCGTGCGTGTGTTCATGTGTGTCTACAAATTGTGCGTGCGTGTGCGAGGGATTGCTACGCTCACTTACATGTGTCTGTGTTTGTTTTTGTTGTTGATCAGAAATGGATGAATGATGGCCACGCCAACAATCCTCTCGAGCCCTTCGTGGAGCAAGATCCAGATGTGAGTGCTTGCATGCATTCTGCACGTGTCTCTCTTTGCATGTGTCTGTGTGTGCTTGTGTGTTTCCTGCGTTTCCTGCTGCGCATTTCACACTGCCTCGCGACTGCCTCTTCCCTCTGCTTGCTTGCTTGCTTGCTTCAGTTTGCCAATGAGACGCGGCTTGCGCTCATGGAAACGCTTGGATTCCGCCGGGAAAGCGTGCAGCAGTCGCTGCGGGTGCGTTGTCTTTGCTGCCAACCCTCGAACGCAATTGCTCGCATTGACATTTGTCACATCCGCTTTGACGCTTGAGATGTTGTTGCGTGCCCGTTCAACACAACATCATGTGTGGCCTCACATACATCATTACTGCGCGCCTCCCTAACCGTCTTCGCTGTTCGCTGTCTCCCTCCGGCATGGCTCGTTTGTGTGCATGTGTGTGCAGTCGCGCCTGTACGACCACCACACGGCGACATATCTGCTCTTGGCCAATGCAACCGCCCGCCTCCCTGCGCCCGTCGCACCCGTGAGTCTACACACAGACACACACGTGCGTGCATTCGTGCTGTCGTGACCTATTGCCTCGCGGCATCTTCAGAGGCTTCGTTCCACTCTTCGCTTCACAAATCACAAGCGCACAAACCACGAACACATGCACACACTGTCTTCGACGTCCATCCACGCCCCGCCCCATACTCACCAACCTTGTCGCCACCATCACCCACAATCGCCATCATCACCACGACCCTTGTCGCCACCACCGCCAGCCATCGCGCCCGCGCCTCCCGCGGCCCATGACCTCCTCGGCTCTGCCGGTTCACTCAATCCCCGACCGCCGCTCGTCCGTCTCCGCAGCGCCATCCGCATCGTCGTCGGCGTCGTCGGCGTCACAGCAGCGCGCACCGGGCACGGGCAAGCAGCTGCCAAAGCGGCCAACCAGACACATGTCCATGGTGTGTTTCCCCTTTGTGTTTGCGCGCGTGTGCTGTGTGTTTTTGCGGATGTGCGGTCGTTGCCGTACGTGGCCTGTCCCTATCGTCGATTCTCGATCACGTTCTTGTTACTGCGCACCTTTGTTCTTTTCCTTTTCTCCTTCTGCTCGCTGTCTCTCTCTCTCTCTCTGCCCCAACCAACACATTGCGCCACGCTACGGTCTCACCCATCTCGGCGTCACGAACCACCACCACCACCATCACCAGTCTGCTGCGCCCCCGATTCCGTCGTCGTCGTCGACCACGGCCGCCTCGTCCTCCGCTGCAAAACCGCCACAGTCGCAGCAGCCGCAGGACGTCGCCACGCACTTGCAGCACCTCTCCCTCAAGGGTGCGCATTGTCTGTGTGTGTCTGTGTGTCTGCGTGTCTGCGTGTGTTTGTGTGTGTGTGTGTGCGTGTGTTTGTGTGTGTGTGTGCGTGTGTTTGTGTGTGTGTGTGTGTGTGTGTGTGTGTGTGTGCACGCGTGTTCCATGTGTTTGTGTGTGTGTGTGTGTGCACGCGTGTTCCATGTGTTTGTGTTTAAAGTCTGCACACCTTTCCCCCTCCCCAACTCCAACTCACTCCAAACTCAACCTGACACCACCCCCCCCCCCCAACACCCATGCTGGTGCCGGTGCAGCGCGGCGGCGGACGGTGACGGAGGGCGCTGTGCGCTCGACACACGACGGCGATGACGCCCCACGTGAGGCCGCTCCCTCAGGCGATAGGCCAGCATTCTTCTCAAGGTATGTGTGTTGGCACACGCCTTGCACCTGTCCCCTGGCGAAATGATCCAATGTGCCCCCCCTCGCCCGCATCAAGTCTCACATGCCATTTGACTTGTCTTTGCTACTTTGTTTTCTTTTCTTTCTCGCAGACTGCGCAACTCCTTCCGCCGCTCATCCGGCGACCAAGCGCGCCTGGTATACACACACACACACACACACACACACACACACACACACACACACACATACACGCACACATACACGCACACATGCACACATGTACACCTGTGCATGGTTGATATTGTGCCCATCTTCGCGTCACCACCACTCACCCCTGGCCCTCTTGTCTCCACTTGATCATCGTTGTCCCTCACCACCGCCATCGGCTGACAGCAACGCACGCGCCCGCGGTCGCTGCGGTTTTCGTTCAGCACCGCCAACACGAGCGCACGGGCGCCGGAGGAGCTAGTGGACGAAATGAAACGCGTTTTGGATGCAAACCAAATCCAATACGAGATGTCGGACGGGCCGTTCTCCCTTGTCTGCACGCATCGCGCCACCCAGTTCGAGATGGAGGTGCGTGCCCATGCTGCGGCCACGCTGTGTTGAACGAAACTCCTGCGCTGTCCTGTGCCGTTGTGACGGTGCAACATGTTATGCCTATGGCCTGTCGTTGGCGGCTGGTCGTCTCGTTTTGCTTGTTCACCAACAGCGGTGGCATCTCTCTTCCCACTTGCCGCCGCCGTTTGCAAACCACTGACTCATCTGTCCTGACCAATCTCCATCGCCACTGCCGTCATGCCAAACCAAACAGGTGTGCAAGCTTCCGCGCTTGTCGCTGAATGCTATCCGACACAAGCGCATTTCGGGCGCATCTGTCGACTACAAGACCATTCTCAGCAAAATCCTCAACGAAATGGAATTATAACCGATCTTTCATGCCTCCACCTGCCTCGCTTTTCCGCGTCTGACCTCGTGGTCATCGTGGCACCGTGTGTCTGCTTCACATCTCTGTTTGTGTGTGTGTGTGTGTGTCAGCTTCATATTGTGAACACAGTGTCCGCTTCGCCTGCTCGCGTGTATGCCTGCTTGTTTGCCTGTCTGTTTGGTTTGTTTGCCTGTGTATGAAGGGCTTTCCTCTTGCTGCGTATCTCGCGGCTCCGTATGTCTCCACCCCGCCTTGATTTTTCCTTTCCTGCGTCGGTTGCATGACGCCGATGATGGTGATGGCTGATGACGTTGTTGTTGTTGTTGTTGTTTGATCGCTCTCGCTGCTTCAGCTCTCCTTTCATGACACTGTGTTGGGCTGGTGTGCTCACTTGTTCGAGCATGGTTTCCCCTGTTTGTTTCTTTGATGTGGCGTACGATTGTGTGCTTGTTTGCTTGCTTGCATGCATGTCCGCATGGTTGCTTATGATTATCCCACTGTGTTGGTGTTGGTGTGTTGCTTGCCATCCTGTGGTCGCCCATTGGTCCTCGTCCGCGTGCGTGTCGGATTCTGTTACACCAGATGCCATCGTGCTTTCGTATGGCTGTTCGCTTGTCCCTTGCTCTGTTCAACATTGCCTGCATGCAACTCCCTTGTTGCTGCTGTCCACATTTGTTTCGTCTGACCACAATCGCTCGCGTGCTTGTTCGCATCACTACCATCACCCCATCACCATCATCATCATCGTCGTCGTCGTTGTCATCAGTACCAACGGTCATCATTTGTCCATCTTCATATCCGGTCACAGTGAAACACTTCACGTTTCAAAATGTCGTCACAGTGCTATGCCCGTGTGTATTCGTGCGTGGACGCAGCGGAACTGGCACCACAGAGAAGTGTGTGTGTGTGTGTGTGTGTGTGTGTGTGTGTGTGTGTGTGTGTGTGTGTGTGTGTGTGTGTGTGTGTGTGTGTGTGTGTGTGTGTGTGTGTGTGTGTGTGTGTGTGTGTGTGTTTGTGTGTTTGTGCTTGGGGGGAGGGCGTTGTTGAAAGGTTGAAATGCAGTTGGCAAGCAAGGGAGCAAGATGAAAGTTGAAGGGTGAGTCATGATGAATGGGCGAGCGCTTGGTGGGGAATGGGAACAAGACAAAACGAAACAGCCCCTCGAGATGGGGACAGCCTGAGTTCGCGCGTGACATAACCTCACATCAGTACAGGAAGATAACGACAGAGAGATGGTGCGAAACAAGGACCAGCGAACATGGGTCGCACAGCAGTCGCCGTGGTGCTTGCACCAGCAAATGGTGATAACAACACCGTGCGCGCGTGGAGCAAATTATGAGAAGCGGTTGAAACAAAGGCAAAGCAGCGAACATGGGCACAAAGCAAGCTGACTCCTAGTTGACGAAATCTCTGGTACAGTAGCGTCGTGTTGCGTGCAAGCACACACGTCGTCGGATATCGCAAGAGCTGCGATGCTACTCGGCCCCTGCGTGCGAGCCTGGCCAGCGGTTGCCGGCTTGGTCAAGTTGGAGATCAATGGCACGAGAGAGGTGCACAACCTGTTACCCATCGTGTGGGGGTGGAGGAGGGGGGTTGGGAGAGAGGGGTGAGAGCGTCTGGGCGTGTGGTGTAATGCGATGTGCACGCATGTGTGCAGGGAAAATGCTGGAAGCAGCAACATGACTCTGCATCTGGCCGAACTGAACGTGGAATGCGTCTCGCCGCAAGCCCATCAAAGAGCACTGCACTCACGGTGGTTGCGACGTGTTTCGGTACGACATCTGGTGCAGCATTCTCAACGCCAAGCACCTGTGGAGGTTTTTGTCAAAATGCAACATGCACACACACATGCACATCACACACATGCATAACACACACACATCACACACATGCACAACACACACATGCACAACACACACATGCACAACACACAAATGCACATCACACACATGCACAACACACACATGCACATCACACACAGCACACACATGCGCAACACACATGCACACAGAGATCAGTCGTGTGCCATGCTTGCATCCACGCATGTATCAGAGCAACATGAGGCGGCATGCAGACAGACGCATGTCTACATGCACCAGAGCCAAGACAAGCCACCTTGAGCGCTGTCTGAAACAAGCGCGCGTCATCGTCCGTGTGATCGGCGCCAGTGTGGGGCATCTTGACAGGATAGATGTCTGGCATGGGGGAGCACACCACCTTGTGCAAGCGCTGCAGCAGCCACACGCATGGCAACATCGCATGACAAGATCCGTGGCGTGAGTCACGAGCATGATCATGGTCAACGACGGGGGTGTGTATGTTGTTTGCAGCACGAGTGAGGTGATTGTCACAAGTGAAAACAACAGCCGATACAAGGTCGTGTTCTGCCTGAGAGCAACAGCATATGCGGTGTTGACATCACTGCCAATCACACCACACGACAATGCTTGTAGCGCTCTGTCACGATACTGTGCTTGGCATCACACCTCTAGTGCGGCAATTTCGCCTTCCAGCTGCGCTATGTCGTGCCCAATTGCATCAGCGTCGTCGCTTTGGACGCTGGTGCCATCGGCGCTGCCGAAGACTGCACTGCCGTCACCGCCGTGCTGCTTGCCTCGTCTTTTACTCTTCGTTTGTCCTCCTGTCTTTCGACGGCCTTGTTTTCCTTTCTTCTGCTGTATCCTGGCCACCAGAGCCTGTCCAAATCCCATACACGCCAGTGCAACAAGGTACAACACCGCGCAGCGTTTGTGAGCATGAATGCATGCGTCCCGCAAAAACACACACACACACACACCACCACCAATTTGCACAGCAGGTACAGACACCAATGCGCACGATTGGTACACCGAACTGTGATGCCGTGGTCCCATCCCCTTCCCTCCCCCTCCCCCCTCCCCCCTTCTTAACTCATGGAAAGCGTACCTCCATGACCAACTTCTCTTGCTCCTTTGACAGAGCACCTGGGGTGCCTGTGCCTGGTGATGTGGAGCGGGGTTTCCTTCGCCGATCTTTTCTGCGGCGGGGGCGTGGATGTAATGCCACGGGCTCTGGCCATGCTTGCTCCGCTTCCGTTTCCTGTTCAGCCGTGGAATCGCCTACCTCTTCGTCTGCTTCTACTTCTGCTCCTGCGTCTGCGTCTTCTGCCTCCTGTTTCTCCTGCTGCCTGTGCTTGTTCGAATCTTGTGGCACATGCTGCGATGGCTTTGCCGCGCTCTCTGAGGTGTGCACCGGACCACCAGTCGCAGTAGCAGCAATAGCAGCAACTGCAGTGGCAGTACCTCGAGCGCCACTGCTGCCGTCACCACCATCACCACCACCACCACCATCACCGCCGACCCTCATCGCACCAGCGATGGCAACAGCAGTATCCTCCTCTGCTGCTGCTGCTGGTTTGCTGTTGTTGTTCTGTTGCTGTCCTTCGCTCATCTTTGCCTGTCGTGCTGTCGAAGGCCAAAAATGACTTTGGAGCTCAAAGTCAAATTTGCCTTGAAGCGGTTGGCAACAAAACAAAAGGAAGGACAACCACACACACGACAACAACAGAAGCAAGGTCAGCGCAGCACATTCCACCAACCAACCCCCACCAAGACCACGTAAAGCAAGCAGCGTGCCTGCCTCCCTTCTTGTTCTTCATTCTTCATCGTACGAGGTACTTCCACCCCCCCCCACTCCCCCTCCCACACACACACACTGACAACGCAGAGATGATGGGCAGCCACCCACAGCGCAAGAAGCGACGGGATCGCCAGAGAGGAAGCAAGGGCCGAAGGAAAAGAGACAGCGGCGGCGGCGGTGGTGATGTCGGCGGCGGTGTCGGCGGCGGCGGCGGCGGCAGCAACAGCGACACACTGCGGAGCACAGGCCGGCGGTCAAAGCTCACGGTGTGCGTGCGTGTGCGACCTCGCTTGCATCATGAGGTAGCAGCAGGCCGCAAAGACATTGCCCGCGTCGTTGACGAAAAGATGGTGGTGCTCATGGACCCGCACGACAACAGCGACGACATCCTGCGGCGCAACAGGTCGCGGGAGAAGCGGTTCGCCTTTGACACCTGCTTCGACTCAAGCGCAAACCAGAAGACCGTGTACACCATGACCACAAAGCCCATCATCAAGGGCGTGCTGAACGGGTACAACGCCACCGTCTTCGCCTACGGGCCCACGGGGTCGGGAAAGACGTACACCATGCTCGGCAACGCCGACAACCCCGGCATCATGACGCACACGCTGCGCGACCTCTTCAAGCTTGTCGCCCGTCGCGAGGACGAAACAGAGTACCGCATCACCATGACATATGTGGAGCTGTACAACGAGTACCTCTACGACTTGCTCGTCGACGACTCCGACGAGTTGGAGCTGCGCGAGGACGCACATGGCAACAACCATGTCATTGGCGCAACGGAGGTGCACATCACGCAACCGGAGCAGGTTCTCGGGTTGCTGATGGAGGGTAACCGCCGCAGAACACAGGAGGCCACCGCAGCCAACTCTACCTCATCCCGGTCACATGCTATCCTGTGCATTCGCGTCCGCAGCACCCCTCGCATGCAAGACATTCAACGCCAACACAAGGTGCGCGCATGCAAACGGATTCTGCTGTGATATTGTCGTTCTGTTCTTGTAACAGGAGCGATGCACACCCGCTGATCACCGAGATGCGTGCATGCACTCTTGCTTGTAGTTGTGGTTTCACTTGATACGTGCACTACGTTTCCTGTACTTCATACTTGCTCTTCAAACGCGCATGCACTCATGTCCTGCACACAAAACCATACACGCAAACACCCGCAAACACACGCAAACACACATCCGCGTACACACATGTATACTGTGTACGTGCTTGTACTCGTGCTTCAGCTTGGTCAACTGTACATGTGTGATCTCGCTGGCTCGGAGCGCGCGGCGCACACGAAGAACATTGGGCAGCGCATGGTGGAGGGCCAACACATCAACCGCTCCCTCCTTGCACTTGGCAATTGCATCAACTCCCTCGGGTCCCACGGCCAAGTCAAGTACGTGTGTGTGTGTGTGTGTGTGTGTGTGTGTGTGTGTGTGTGTGTGCGTGTCTGCGTGTGTGCGTGCGTGCGTGCGTGCGTGCGTGTGTGTGTGTGTGTGTGTGTGTGTGGCTGTGTGTGGCTGTGTGTGTGTGCGTGCTTGTGCTTGTGCGTGCGCGTGTGCATGTGTCTGTCTATCTATATCTGTTCGCCTGTCTCTCTGTCTCTGTGCCTCTCTGTCCCTCTGCCTCTCTGTCTGTTTGTCACTGTGTACGATGCACACTGTATATCACACACGTTGTGAGTCGCGCCTTGCACATTCACGAAAACCTCAATGTTCAATCCTACCTTGTACGATTTGTGTGTTTCCCCACCTCCGTACACACCGCCTTTACAGGTACGTCAACTATCGTGATAGCAAGCTGACGCGCTTGCTGAAGCATGCACTCGGCGGCAACTGCCGCACGGTGATGATTGCCCACATCAGCCCGTGTGACCACCACTTTGAGGAGTCCTACAACACCCTCACCTACGCCAACCGAGCAAAGAACATCAAGACACGCGTCACACGCAACGCAGAACAGGTGAGTGTGTGCGTGTCTGTGTGCGTGTGCATATGGTCTTGGTGCTAGAGAGTGTGTGAACAATCGGTGTTATGTCTTGCCATGTTTGTGTTTGCAGCAAGTCGAGCCTTTGTCATCTCTATGTCTCCCTCCTCTGGCGCGCCGTTCACAACACGCCCAAACACGCATGCGCTCTCTGTTCGCTCAGGTGCAAGCACACGTTACAGAGTACACCAACATCATCTCGTCGCTCAAAGACCAGGTGCAGCAGCATGTCATTGTGTGCGCTCCGACAGCTCTCTTGAAGTTGTGGATGTTTGTTTCGCCCCTTCCTGTCTGCCCTGGCTTGCGCTACCCTTCGGCAATCCTCATCCCATCCTCCTCACATTGGTTCGTTTGCACGCTTTCAACGTTTTAGATTGCAACACTTCAGCGACGCCTGACGGAACGCAAGAAGAGCGCTCCTCCCCGACCACGTACGTGTCAGTGTCCACCGTGATTGACACAAACTGCAACCAACTCACAGCTTTCACTCCACCTCACTCACTCACTTTCACTCACTCCCTCACTCTCTCATTCACTCACTCACTCACTCACTCCACTCCACTCCACTCCACTCCACTCCACTACGATAGGCTCCGCCTCTGGCGATTCGCGCCGGCTGTCCTCTGCTGATGCAATGCCGAGCATTGTTGAGTTTCAGCTGCAACTCGATCAACTCCTCAAGGACCAGCTGGATCTGTTTGAACAACTGCACGACATCAGACACAAGGTGGTGACCTGTGCACAGCCCTCGTGCATGTGTGTATGTGTACGTGTGTTTGTGCATGTGTGGGTGACCCGCCGCGCCCTGGTTTGCCATTCCTTGCCCCTTCCTTGCTCTTGTCTTGTCCGTTGTCAGCCCTTGCATTAATGTGATGTTCCAGCTGCTTGCACACCATCATATCACCGCGGTTCTCAACCACAACGTGGCACTACATGTTGTCACACCATACTATCCACAGAGCTTGGAAGTTGTGTTGGACGCGCGCGAGCAGACAACAGACTCGCTCCTCGCAGACAATGTCTTTGACCTGGACATTTACGACGAGTCAAGTGATTCGAAGCAGGTACGTGGTTGTGTTGAGGGCTCATGGTGATCGTTTGTGGTGTTGCATGGAAGCACGGACTCCGCAGTGATCCGTTGCATCAACTTGCTCTTCTTCTGGTTCTTCTTCTTCTTGTTCTTCTTCGCACAATACACACTGCTCACATACACATCCACAACACGCTCTCACACACACTCGAAACACACAAACACACAAACACACGCACAAACACACAAACACACGCGCAGGTGCTGCAAGTTGTGACGGACCAGGTTGACCTTGCACGCGACAAGCTGAAGCGACTGGAGGATGAGCGGCAAGCGGTGCTGTCGAAGATTGACGCAGGCCGCAGCCAAGCCCTGCAGCTGCTGAAGGAGGCACAGACTGCCAACTCTCTTGACGAAGAGGCAGAACATGTAAGTGCTGGTGCATATGTGTGTGTGTGTGCGTGCGTGCGTTGGGGTACGTGCTTGCGTGTGCGTGTGCTTGCGTGTGCGTGTGGATGTGTGTGCGTGTGGATATGTGTGTGTGTGTGTGGATATGTGTGTGTGTGTGTGTTATGTGCTGATATTATGTTGCGTTGGAGTGAGCATTGTCGCTGCTAACTTTTTCAACATGTCCCCTGATTCGATGGAATCGCGCCACAAATGAACAATTCAAGCCCTCACCCTGTGTGGTGCTCCAACTTAACACCAACACAATCGTGCCACCCACCTGCAACATTTATCCCCGCGAGCGCAGGTGCTGTCCCACTTGCACGGCCTCTTTGACAGCAAGCTCGCGCTGGCAAGCGCAGAGTCGTCGCGCACGAGTCTTCAGCAGTATCTGATGGAGACGTCGGCGGCACTGGAGCAGCTGCAGCGGCAGACGGTCGAGCAGAGCCATATCATTCGCCAACAGGCCCGCCTCCTTGCTGGTACTGCCCGTCACCCTTGCTCGCACTGCAGTTGATGAAGGGAGAAGGACAAAGGTTGGAGGGGGGGTAGGGTTAGATGAACGCCCAGAAGCGTTAACCCAAACCTTTGCCCCCATGGACGCATGAACTCACAATTACATTCTCCCAACCTGTTCCTTTACGTGACCATGTGCAGAGCACGGGATTGAGCTTCCTGTGAGCCTGCAGCTTGAGCAGCGCAAGTCGATTGCCGACCAGCGCGTCGCTGCCGCCATCGTCGCCATGGACCGCGACCTCCCGCTCATGTGCCTTGACCCAGAGGAGGTGCGTCTCGGTGAATGTGTGTATGTGTGGGTTTGTGTGAGTTTTGCCTTTTGTGTATGTGTGGGTTTGTGTGGGTTTTGCCTTTTGTGTATGTGTGTATGTGTGGGTTTGTGTGTGTGTGTGTGCGTGTGTGTGTCTATGTCTGTGTCTATGTCTGTGCCTGTGCCTGCGTCTGTGTTTGTGCGTATTTTGCGTTTGCTTCTGTTGTGTGCATGGACTAGTACTTGCTCCACTCACCGCTCTGCATGTCCTGCTGGTGTGCAACTTCTCACATCACGCCACGGTGCCCTCCACTGCCATCCGCCCGTTCCCAATCTGCGCAGATTATCCGACGGCGAAATGCGCAGCGCGTGCAGCCCAAGCGGCTTCACGACCAACTGCGCAAACATTACGCAAATAGGATGAAGACCATCTCCAATTTGGGGTTTTCGCACGACCAAGCGCAGCTCACGCGCTCCACGTCCCTCACCGGCATTCACCGTGGCAGCCTTATCCCTGGCACGGGGCAGGCCCTCGAGTTGGCCCGCATTGCCTCTGACATGAGAGGTGATGGGGACGAGAACAACAACGAGAACAGCGAGACGAGTGGGCAGCCACGGCCCATGTCAAAGGTGCAGATGCGCCGGGCAACGAGCCCCATCATCCCGCACCCGCACGGCCTTCACTTGGACTCGGAGGCCGCCCAGCAGCAGGAGCAGCGGTGGAGGCGCGCGCTGGAGAAAAAGGCGCCAATCACCAGCACACCGCTCCCGGGCAGTGCCGCGTTCTACAACAACGGCGCCGGTAAGGCTGGGCGCAAGGGCAGCGGGCGCAAGCGATCCGCATCACACTCGCCAACGACCATGTACAAGACATTCACCAAAGCAGCGAGCCCAATGCCCCTTGACCGCACATACACAAAGGACGACTTCAAGGCGGCGCAGCAGCGCAGCAGTGATGAAACCAATGGTGGAGATGGTGATGACACGATGATTGCTGATGCTTACAACAATGACGACGATGATTACGAAGACGACTTTGATGATGATTTCGATGATGATGATGACGATGATGATGACACCGATGCCGACAGTGATCGGTACCGTCGTGAAGATGCACGCACACATGCGCGCCAACAGCAGCAGCAGCAACAGCAGCAAGGTGCGAGCAAGAAGCGCACGACAGATGAAGGTGAGAAGCGTGTCGACGAGACACGGGCGCTGCACCAGCATCCTCTTGCCACCAACAACAGCGGGAACGAAGCCCCTCAGCGCAACACACACGACGTGCTGCGCAAAGGTCGTGTGATGCACGCACAGCCAACACCAGTTGCTCCACAGGTAAACACCAGGCAGTTCACAAATGTACAAATGTGTATGTTCGTGTGTGTTTGCATGAGCTGCGTTGGGTTTGTGCTATCTCGCCGACACTTGTTGCTTGCTCACTCACGATTGTGTGACTGCACAACTGTGAAATGCTCGTTTTGCTTTGTTTTCTTAGTTGGACGTGCCATCGCCACGACAGCTCCGCGTGGAAACTGCAAAGATTTCTCCAAAGTGAGCTTCATCACACGCCGTGAATTCAGCTTCGTTACGATGTTGCGTGCTGCACGCGTTGTTTCTTTGATCCACGCACCATGCACCAGTCGAAGTTCTGCCACTCATAAGCATACACACGCTCGCACGCCACCCGCGTACACGCATTCATGCACCCCACAACCTGCAAACCACGCCCAACCACACCAACCGCCCATGTACAGGCACCATCCCAACAACCCACAGGTTCGCCGTGGAAAGCAACTGGTGGCTCTGCACCCGACCATGCCTCGCCTTACGGTGCAGGCGTCGCCCTACGCCATTGCGCCGCGCCACCTCCGCCGTGGTGGTCGCTGAGCACGGCATGTCGTGTGTGTGTGTAAGGGCGCGCGCGCGCGCGTGTGTGTGTATGTGTGTGTGTGTGTGTCTGTCTGTCTGTCTGTCTGTGTCTGTCTGTCTGTCTGTCTGCCATCGCGATGGTACACAACAAGTTAAGACTGTTGTTCATGTTAGTTACTTCGATTCACAAAGATGTAGCGTGGTCGGGACCTTGTTCTGTGCAACATCAAGTGATAACTGTCATGTCTACACAATGCCCAATTGTTCGTTTAATCGGCCATTTTCTTGCTTTCCCAGATGAAGAGTTTCCTTCATTCAACTGCAACGACCTCGTTTGGGTCCATCAATAACAACAACACATCAGCCGCACATGAACGCGAGCAACGCTTATGCACATGCGAGAATCAATTCCACTACTGAACAACCACACATCCCAACGTGCAAACGACACGCCACACCGGCGTATTGCTGCATTGCATTGCGCCCACCCCATCACACCATCACACCATCATACCATCACACCATCACACCATCATACCATCACACCATCACACCATCATACCACACCACACCACCACCATCGGCCGTCATGCGCAATCACTTGGCCCCGAGCAAGCGGTTGATCTGGCGATCAAGGTTGACAATGACAGCGTCATGAGGCTGATACACTCCAGATGCAAGCAACGCGTCTCGCTCCTGCGCCAGCCGTCCAACTTCGGCCTGTGTCTGTTTCCTGTCACCGTCGCTGCCACCGCCCCGTCCGCGCGGCATGCGTGCGCCATCGTTCTTCCACTGACGTGCGGGCGAGACGCGTGTGTGCTTGTCACCACCGCTGCCGTTTCCTGCCGTCAAGTCAGCGAGACGACGAAGCTCTTCCTTCAGCTCCTCAAGCTCCTGCCGCTCGCGACTTGCCACCTGCCTCTCCTCGTGTGCAAGGTATTGTAGGCGCATATGCTGCCATGCGGGATGACATGGCGTGCCACGGCATGGCATAGAGTGTGCATGGGTGCATTGTGTGCGTGCATGCGTGTGTGCGTGCGTGCGTGTATGCGTGCGTGCATGTATTTGTGTGCACGTGTGAGTGTGAGTACAAGGGATGAAAGAACGGGGATGAGCACAACGGCTCGTTTGCACATTGCATGCATTACATTGCACTGCACTGCATTGCATCGCACAGCCCACCTCAAGCTCGGACTGTTCGCGCCGCAGCTGCTCGCGCGCAACAAGCTCGCTCTTCTGTTTCAGTCTCGCAATCGTCTGTAGCGCTTTGGTCCTGTCATTCCATCACAGCAGATGCGCACACAAACCAAAGGAGCCATTAATCACGTGCAAGGCACAATTGCACGCGCAACACAAAATGCTTAGCGCACCTTGTGCTCACAAAACAAGACACGTCAGCATGACCAACAACATCAACACCACCTACCACTGCGCCTTGTATTTCTCCTTGGCCGCTTGTGAGGACTTGAGCTGTTGCCGCAGATCGGTGTTCTGAGCCTGTAAGACTGCGCGCTCGTGCTCCAACCGTGCCTGAGGTTGCAAGTACAAAGGCCGGTGAACACGCAATGAGAACCATGAGATGCAAAACAAAGGCATGCGATCAATCAATACTGATAACAGATGAACAGGACTGCATGAACCACAACATTGACAAAACTGGGATCAAACCACTGCAACAACGACAATCTGATTTCCGACCTGGGACACACACACACACACACGCACAGAATGCAACTCTCTGTGTCTTGCAAGCATTCCTGCCTTACGTTTGGTCCTTGGTGCAGCTGTGTTTGCAAGGACGCAATCTCGCGCCGCAGCTCAAAGCCTTCTTGCTGATATTGGGCTGCTAGTGCTTTGGAGTGCTTCAGGTCTTCCTCCAGCCCTTTCACTTTCTCCGCTTGCAGCCTGGTCTGATGCAAGAAGTCCTGTTCAAGGCGCCGGCTTGCGTCTTGAAGGTCCATCAACTTTCGCTGGTAGTCGTCTTCAAGCTTTGTTTGCCGGCGGTGCAGGTCCTCCTCATTGCGCTCCAGCTCCTTCTCACGACCGGACAAATCGGCCAGCGTTTGCTGTGCGCGTGTGTATGTGTGCATGTGTGTGTGCGCGCGCGTGTGTATGTGTGCATGTGCGTGGTTGTGTGCGTGTGTATGTGTGTGTGTGTGTGTGTTCATGAGCATGTGCGGGAGAGCGCAGTGAAACTTCCAACAAACAAATTGCAATTCCTTCGGCAAACAGTGAGCACCCACAGCACACCCCCCGCGACAATGCTCCAGCAGCACCGCACCTTGAGCTCTCCCTCCAGCTTCTGGTAGCCCTGGATTTTCTCTGCAATGAGCGCCTCGCGCTGTTCGTTGCGCTGCCGCCACTCCTCCGCCAATGTCTGATTCATTGGTGTTGGCGTTGATGATGATGATGATGAAACAGGGCAGAGGAAACGTGGAGAAGCAGGTGTGAACTGTGAAACGCATGTTTCTGAAACCCATGCATACAGGAGGAGGTGATAACGCTTTCATCGTGTTACCAACACGCGTGCTATGCGGTTGCGCTGCGTTGCGCTGTGCTGCTTGTTCTGCTGCACCAAACCTTCAACACAGCAAACCACCGAGCAATCGACATCAAGCAGCGTGGCAACTGTTGCTCACCTCCAACACTTGGCGCTTTTGCTTCTCCAAGGACGCTTGAAATCGCTCCTTCTCACGCTGCATCCACACTTCCAAATCAAGCGCAGCCTGGAAAACAGGTACGCGGAGGGGTGTGAGACGAACGTGCAAGCAGGTAAACAAACAAACAAACAAACAAACAAACAAACAAACACACAAACAAACAAACAAACAAACAAACACACAAACACACAAACCAAACCAAACCAAACAAACACACGTAGTCAAGCAAATATAGTTGAGCAAACACACCAACAGCCACAGACCTTTGTGTCAGACAACTGTCGCTGCTGCCGCTCCTGCGCTGTGGGGACATATGCGGCAGTGACCACCGTCTCGGTGTCTGTGAAGTCGTGTTCGTGTGTTGGTAGCGCGTGCACGTGCTGTTGGTCAGATGCAACGTGGTGTCTTTCAAACTGATGCCAGTGCTGCTGATGTTGCTGTGGCGGTAGTTGGTGTAGTTGCTGTGGTTGTTGTTCTTGCGCTTGCTGTGGTTGCGGGTGATGATGGTGAGCAAGCCTTTCCGGGAGAGCTTGCTCACCTGCTGCATGTGAGTACCGTTGCTGCTGTGCCTGTTGCTGGAGCTCGTGTGGCTGCTGACGCTGTGGTGGGGGTGACTGTCTAGCCACTGCCCGTGGTTGTCCTTGGGCATAAACAGGGTCACCATCACCATCACCATCATCACTGCTGCTGCTGCTGTTGGTGGTGTCGCCATTGCGTGCAGAGGCGTTCACGTGTTGCTGAGAAGTGGGTGCACCACGAAACTCTCGACCACCTTTGCGACCAGTAACTTCGTCATTATCGTCGCTGTTGTCTTCATCGTCTTCAAAATCATCCTCATAGTCATCGTGGTGCAGGGCTGGTAGCTCTTGTCCTGCCTGCTCTTCACCTTGCTGCCGTCTGTTTTCACCTTCATGGTGATGATGATGATGATGAGGGTGATGCTGGTCGCTTTGCATCTGCGCTGTAGCTGCGCCTTGCTCCATTCCACGGGCGCTGCTTGCGTCATGGCGGCTCTGCACACTGTCACCGCCACCGCCACCAGCAACGGCATGCTCACCAGCGTTCCTCGGTTGTGCTTGGGTGTGCCGCCGCTCTTCATCTTGCGTCTGTTCCTCCTGCTGGTGCTCGTGCTGATGCTGCTGGTGGTGTTGTTGATGCTGCTGTGGGCCGGCTGTATGATCGGAGGCGCGAAACGTGAGGGCGAGTGTAATCTTGCAAGTGTGCTCTCCATCACGTGCAGCGCCAGTGAGAATGGTGTGTGTGGACGGCTGCCCAATCGTCGTCCTGCATGGCGCCAGCGACAGCTCCGTCGCCAACACGGGCTTGAACGTGGCCGTGTTCAGCACAACAACCTGTGTGCGTGTGTGTGTGCGTGTGTGTGGGTATGAGTGTGTGCGTGTGCATGTGTGTGTGTGTGTGTAGATAAGTGTATGGGTTCACAGTGTTGTGTATGAGTGTGTGTGTGTATGTATGGGTTCAAAGTGTGTGAATGGGTATGTGCGGGAAGAGGCAGGCTAAATGCGCCCACGCGTGTTGTCGTGCAGGTGCACACATGCTCGTGATGTTATGTGCAACACAGAACACGAGGATGCGTGCGAGTTGTGCACTTCCGGTCAACTGCTGCCACTCCGTATTACCCTGGCGGTGTCGCTGTCAAATCGACGGGCGAGAGCGCTGCGACTGCCGCGAACAGTAAACGGCTTTGAACTGCAGGTGCATGCAAGCAAGCCATGAACAGGCGCGGGGTCATCAATCACGGTGGCAATATACACACATGTGATACGTTCATACAAACACGACATGCACACACATGCTGCACGCGCGCGCACCAACACGCACACACATACCCAAACACATAAACACACACGCACACGCACATGCACACATGCACACACGACGACGACGACGACTGGCCGCACGTGGTGAAGGCGACGTGACCGGCGCGTGCGGCAGTGAAGCGATCGGACTCAATGTCCATTCCAAGCACATGCACCACCGCCACGCAGTTGAACGTCAGCATCTTGCGGGCAGCCAGCTGGTTACAGTTGTTACAAGGAGACCGAGAGGAGGAGAGAGGGCAAGGGTGTGTGTGTATGTGTGTGTGCGTGTATGTGTGTGCGTGTGTATGTGTGTGTGTGTGTGTGTCGGGACAGGCAAAGGTGAGGACCCAATAGAGAATTGACCACAATGCGAACGAATCAACACTACTTCTTGTGTGTACTCACCCCACTCACTTTCACAGTCTCAATTCCATACTCCCACTTACTCTCGCCCATTCTCTCGGTCTTACATGCACGCATACACACGCATACACACACACACACACACACACACACACACACACACAAGCACCAGCACGCACCATGGCAGTGAGGTGCTCAAAGGAGGCTGACTCGACGGCGGCGGTGTACGAGAGGTCAGACGGGCGCGGTGGGTGCGGGGCGGCGCCAGATGCACCAATGAACACTGTGCCGGGGTCAACCAGCGACAGAGGAGGACCGCGGTCTGTGGTGAAGACAACCGGTGAGTGGGGTCAGGTGATGCACAATTGGAGGTGAGATGGGCAGTGCTGTATGGTGGCTGGGATGACGACAGGGTCACGCATGCAGCGGCGAACGGGTGTGTGTGTGTGCAGATAGTTAAGCCAAGCAACATGCTTGTACCTTTGGGCTGTGTGCCTGTGGTTGGATCATGCTGAGTTTCAATGCAGAACATCACTTGGAGCATGGGCTTGGCTTTTGGGTACTGGTTGTTGGACAGCGAAAACCACTTGGTGGTCTATTCAGTCATTGAGTGTGTGTGTGTGTGTGCGTTGTGTGTGCGTGTGTGGTGTGTGGTTTGTGTGTGTGTGTGAGTGTGTGTTGTGTGTGCGTGCATTAGACAGGGGTAAAGGCGGCGTGGAGGCAGTGTTTGGCGCTCCACTTGCTGAGGACAGTGTGTAGGGATATAGGTAAAACAAAACTGCCACAACGCTCACACATGTTCACAGCCAACACACACACACACACACACAAATACATACTTACCTCTTGAGCGTTGATGGATCGGAGATCAAGCATGATGTAGCCTATGGGGCGCTCCACTTTGGTGCGCTCATCAATGGCCACGCACTGGTTGTGCAATTCAAGGATGGGGAACATGGAGACAGACAGAGGTGAGTTGAGAATGCCACCAGCAGCAATACAGCAGCGACAGGCACTGAAAGAGGAGGGACTGGAAGAATGACAACACCTCGAGCTTGATGGGCGTCCGTTGCACACGGAGCTGGTGCAGTGTCTTGTGGTCCACCATCCATGCCTGTCAATCGTTCGAAACGAACACAAGTGTAAGCGTGTGGGTGAGGGGGAGGGGGTATGTAAGGAAGGTTAAATGCAAGTGCTGTGTGTGTGCTGTTTGTGTGATGCTTATCTGTGTGTGCATGTATTTGTGAGTGAGAGTCAGAGGGTCAGAGACCCAGGAGAGAGAGTGTGTGTGTGTGAGTGAGTGAGAGAGAGAGAGCAAAGACATCAGTTTCAGGGGATTGGCTGACCAGCTCGTTCTCCACGAGGAACTTTGAGTGGTGTGGCACGGGGTCCGTCAAGAGCACTTTTGAATCAAACCGGCCACGCACAACAAACGAGAGACCCTTTCGTTCCGGAAAGCCTTTGCCTGTCACGGGTGTTGTGTTGGTTGTTGTTTTGGTGGTGGTATTGGTTTGAGGAACGTGCTGCTCGCTGCTGCTTGCTGGATGACTTTGGTGACTGTCAACAGCTTACACAGCAACGCAATTCACACAAACTCACACACAAGTACACACACAAGTACACACACACAAGTACACACACACACACACACACAAGTACACACACACACACACAAGTACACACACACACACACAAGCCCACACATGCACACACACAAGCCCACACATGCACACACATCCACACCTTGGAGGACAGCCACCACAACGGCGACAGCTGCACTGGTTGCCATCTTTGGGCCCGTTCACAGCGAGTAATTGTGATTGCTGGCGAGTATTGGCGAAACTGGTGGTCGGTGTGCGTTCGTGGCGAGTAATTGTTTTCTGCTGACTCACATGTGCAGCCATTGGCGCGCCGTGTTTGGCGCCAGCTGCCGTTCGAAGAGAAACCGTCCACTGGATATGGCGGAGTCTGATGTGTGCTTTGAGTGTGGGGGGAATTCAACGTACTGTAACGAATGTACACGCTGTTCAAGGGTGCTTCACAAACAGTGTGCGGCCCTAATGCGCATGCAGCATGGAGCGGTCACGTTGATCTGTGTGCAGTGCATGCAGCCACATGAGGAGGCTCCGGCTGGGTTCATTCCTCCTTCACGTGAGTGTGTGTGCATGTGCATGTGTGTGCATGTGTGCATGTGTGCTTGTGCTTGTGCTTGTGCTTGTGCTTGTGATTATGTGTGTGTGTGTGTGTGTGTGTGTGTGTGTGTGTGTGTGTGTGTGTGTGTGTGCATGTGTGTTGGATCGTTGCTGTTGCAAGTCGTAACTGAGTTGCGTTTCGTGTGTCTGCTTCAGATATCATGGGCTCGTTTCCGCCTCCCCGCAAACAACCACAAGTGCTTGTCCCGGAAACCCAGGACTCAAGTGCGTCGCAGCGTGTCCAGTCCCAAGGCTCGACCTTCGATGAGACGCAGTCCCAGGATGGAGACATCATGGCACCCCGGTCTTCGCAAGCTGCGTCTGCTTCTGACTCGCAGGACTCTAATACATCTCGGCGGCGTGTCCAGTCCCAAGGCTCGACCTTCGATGAGACGCAGTCCCAGGATGGAGACATCATGGCACCCCGGTCTTCGCAAGCTGCGTCTCTTGTGTTTGGAGGACGCCCCCTTCCTCTTTCCCAATCACGGGTGGGCTCTTCTCGAGCACGAGTGTCTGCTTCTGACTCGCAGGACTCTAATACATCTCGGCGGCGTGTCCAGTCCCAAGGCTCGACCTTCGATGAGACGCAGTCCCAGGAGGGAGACAGCATGGTACCCCGGTCTTCGCAGGATACAATGAACCCCACCCAATCGTTATTGGCGCCTCGCGAAGAGCCGTCGTCGTCGTCGGCTAAACGGTCCAAGCGAGCAGGCGGCAACAGGACCAGGGGGAAGGACGCCAATCCCAGGGGCCCGCTGGTATCGTGCCCTATGTGCCCGTGTGCCTCCGTGCATGCCCGATTGTATGTCTGTGACTTCGTCTGTGTCTGTATAAGTGTGTGTTTCCATGTATGTGCGCGTGCATGCCTGCATTTGGCTGGCCACGCTCTCATGATTGTGTTCGCTTGCAGATTCCCTGGACCAGGCGTTTTGAGGGGATGACGTTGGACGAGGCGCTTCTGGAGAGAGTGCGCGACCGAGTGTTCACTGTCGGTGGTCTTTCCAGCATGAGAAATACGGACTGGGTGGCCATTGCTAACGAGCTCAAGTGAGTACGAGACGCTGGTGGTGCATGTGTGTGTGTGTGTGTGTGCGTGCGTGTGTGTGTCTTTGTCTGTGTGTGTGTGTGTGTGTGCCTTTGTCTGTGTGTGTGTGTGGGGGGGGGGTTAGCGCCAACTTCTGTCTTCTTATGTGTACTTTGTCAGATCGTTGTTTGACCTCCCACAAACACCGAAGGTGTTGGGAGAGCGGTGTAGGATTCGAGTTTCTCGAAAGTTCAAGGAACAGTTCAAAGAAGCACGGTTCGCTGTGCAAGCTACTTCATCCTCTGGTTCGGGATCGCGCCAAGCATCAACGCTCGTGGTACTGCTGTTGTTGTTGTTGTTGTTGTTGTTGTTGTTGTTGTTGTTGTTGTTGTTGTTTCAGTTGTTGTTGTTTCAGTTGTTGTTTAAGTTGTTGCTGCTGCTGTTGCTGCTGTCACCTTAATCTACTTTTCCGTGCGATGTTCCGCTTCTCAATGCGATGCTGCGTGCCATGCCTGCCTTGTAGGGTGAGCTGCGGGCGCAAGGCAACACGGACGAGAGGCTGCGACGCGCTTGCCAAGTCCACGATGACCTAGGGGAGCAGTCGTACGCGTCGCTTTCTCACCTCTTTGAGGGCAACGTTGCCACGCGGGACGGTGCCCGCGACCAGTCTGGCCTTGACCCGCATCGACGCCAAGCAAGGCAAACGACGCAAGGCGAGGTTGATGTTCCGGACGTGCTTCAGTTGATGCTAAACAACGTCCTGGAACAGGAAAAGGCCCAGACCAGCGCACGGGAACAGTTTGCAGCCCTCATCGCCTCACAGACGAAGGCAATCGAGGAGCAGACCAAGACCAACAAGGAGCAGGCCCAGACCAACAAGGAGCTCAGGTGTAGCGAGGGCTCTTGCAGGGCAACAAACACACTCTCGTTCGCGCACTCTCGCTCACACACACACACACACACACACACTTACGCGAATGCACTCGCACGCACAGTCACACACACACACACACACACACGCACGCACACACTCACACGCATACACACGCACTCATGCACGCACGCACACACACACACACACACTCACTCATGCACACGCACACTCACACGCACACACTCATGCACGCACACACTCGCACTCATGCACGCACGCACACACTCATGCACACACACACTCGCACTCATGCACGCACGCACGTACTCATGCACGCACGCACACACTCATGCACTCACACACGCACACACACACACACGTACGCACACACTCACACGCATACACGTACACTCACACTCACACGCACACACTCACTCATGCACGCGCACTCACACGCACACACTCACTCATGCACGCGCACTCGCACACGCACTCATGCACGCGCGCACACACGCACACACACACACTCATGCACGCGCACACACACACACGCACTCATGCGCGCACACACACGCACACCCACACACGCACGCACACACTCACACACATACACATACTCTCACACACACACACACACGCACGCACACACTCACACGCATACACGTACACTCACACGCACGCACACACACACACTCTCACACGTACGCACACGCACACACACACACGTGCGCACACACTCACCCGCATTCACACTGACTCACACTCACACGGACACACTGATGCGCGCGGGCACACGCACTCACTGCACTTGTCTCATGGACGCGCA